CTTGATCACTCATTGGAACATAATTCGAAGTCATGTGAATTAATCATTGGAACAATAGCTGTAATCATATCTTGAGGTTATCTTGATTATCAATCACTATACAATCATTTGAACAATCACTAAAATAATCATTACAACTATCATTGGAACAACCATTGCACCAAACATTGAAACAATCATTAGGCTCAAGCAATGAATCATTGGTACAATTACTGTAAAAAATAATTTATATAATCATTGTAACAATCACTGTAGCAATCACCAATACATCATTCAGTAGGAGGTAAATAACTACAGTAATCACCGGTTACAAACACTGGCTACACCTCATTAATAGAGTCAGACTCAACAAAAGCCAAAAAAGACGATGGAACACGTAAAAAAAATAGACAAAAATCCTCAAGAAGAAAGAGGTTATTCCTCATGCTGATATGTAGTGAAGAGCATCGTCGGACAGAAAGAAGAGAGCCTTTGGCGGTCACAAAGTTGCTCTCTCCGTCAGCGTCGGCGTCGCTTCCTGCTGGAGAGGACGTGGGGTGGTGGGGAGAGACTTCCCAGTGGGCGACGCCAACTGAAGGAGATCCCCGTCAATCTACACCGCGGACAACCTAGTCCATTTTAATTAGGATGTGTCGTCGGGGCGGTGTTTGGTAATGGAAGCGGCGGGTTGTGGCCACTGTGCTCATGACACCTAGACTGTTATCTTGGGTATGGAGGCAGGCGGCTTCTGCTAGCAGAAGGGGAAAAAGAGATGAGGTCTGTTCTCTCTCTCTAAAGGGTTACATTGTGAGTTTCCTGGGGGCTGTTTCTCTGGAGTCCGTCTCTCATGGGGGGTCATAGTGTGACTTCCCATCGGGTGCTTATACGCCCTAAACTGCACTCCATATCTCCACTTGGCATGGATTATTGGACGTATCCAGCCTCGCAACACCCCACTCTGAGACTACGAGGTCACTAGTCTCTTTGACATCTTTGTTTCAGGATTTCTCTATATCTGTTTTTACCTCTCTCTCTCACTCTCTCTCTCTCTCTCTCTCTCTCTCTCTCTCTCTCTCTCTCTCTCTCTCTCTCTCTCTCTCTCTCTCTCTCTCTCTCTCACACACTCACACACACAGCTACATAAAGTCTATATTAACAAGAACAGATAATATCCTAAATAACGTAACAATTGATTAATCCGTAATTTAACGTTTTAGCTGCCAGAGAGAGAGAGAGGGAAAGTCTAAAGGAAAAGACCCTAAACCAAAGACTGAAAAAAATTTGCCAAACTGAGCTATGATAAATTTTTTTTGACACGAGAGGTCATGAGAAAGGTGAAAGGTTACCAGTGGAGGCATTCTGCAGATATTTCCTCCATTTTGAAGGAGACATGCAGCAATCACAGGTCGCTAACTGGTCCTGTGAATCAATATACGAAGACCCGCCAACAGGTGGGTGTCGACACCATCTTTTTTTGTGTGTGTGAATTGAGAGGTATTTACTCACCTATTTGTGCTTCCGGGGGTTGAGCTCTGCTCTTTCGGCTCGCCTCTCAACTGTTTCTACTACTATTATTTTTTCCCCACACTCCACACACACACACACACACACCAGGAAGCAGCCCGTGACAGCTGACTAACTCCTGGTACCTATTTACTGCTGGGTAACAGGGGCATAGGGTGAAAGAAACTCTGCCTATCGTTTCTCGCCGGCGCCTGGGATCGAACCCGGGACCACAGGATCACGTGTAGAGCGTGCTGTCCGCTCTGCCGGCTAGCTCCCATGTGTGTGTGTGTGTGTGTGTGTGTGTGTGTGTGTGTGTGTGTGTGTGTGTGTGTGTGTGTGTGTGTGTGTGTGTGTGTATTCATCTATTTGTGCTCGCGGGGGTTGGACTTTGGCTCTCTGGTCCCGCCTCTCAACTGTCAATCTAAATACATTGTATATGATAGGGTGAACAAAGACAAGCTATTTAGCATGGGTGGAACACGAACAAGGGAACACAGGTGGAAACTTAGTACCCAAATGAGCCACAGAGACATTAGAAAGAATTTGTTCAGTGTCAGAGTAGTTAACAGATGGAATGCATTAGGCAGTGATGTGGTGGAGGCTGAAGCCATACACAGTTTCAAATGTAGATATGATAGAGCCCAATAGGCTCAGGAATCTGTACACCAGTTGATTGACAGTTGAGAAGCGGGACCAAAGAGCCAAAGCTCAACCCCCGGAAGCACAAATAGGTGAGTAAATACCTCTCAATTCACACACACAAAAAAAGATGGTGTCGACACCCACCTGTTGGCGGGTCTTCGTATATTGATTCACAGGACCAGTTAGCGACCTGTGATTGCTGCATGTCTCCTTCAAAATGGAGGAAATATCTGCAGAATGCCTCCACTGGTAACCTTTCACCTTTCTCATGACCTCTCGTGTCAAAAAAAAAAAAAACTAAATTTTATCATCGCTCAGTTTGGCACCTTTTTTCAGTCTTTGGTTTAGGCTTTTTCCCTGTTAGTCTTTCTCTTTCCCTCTCTCTCTGGCAGCTAAAACGTTAAATTACGGATTAAGCAATTGTTACGTTAGTTAGGACTTTATCTGTTCTTTTTAATATATATATATATATATATATATATATATATATATATATATATATATATATATATATATATATATATATATATATATATATGACTGAAAACTCACACCCCAGATATATATAGTCCTGTCGTATCTATATACGACTATATATCGTATCTATATACGATATATAGTCGTATATAGTCCTGGGGACCATTCAGGCTTGTTCGCATATATATATATATATATATACCAAGAGGTATACTTTGCTCTTCAGTGTATATACTCAGAGTTTAATTTAGTCCTGGACTGTATTCAGGATTGAAAGTATATATCATGCTTGGTCCGTAAGCTCTTGTGGTGGCCTTAATAACCCGCTAGACGTTAATAGGCCTTATAACCCTCCAGAGGTTGATATTCCTTAATAATCTTCCAGAGATTCATAGGCCTTAATAACCCTCTAGAGGTTGATAGGCCTTAATAACCCACCAAAGTTTGATAGGCCTTAATAACTCTTCAGAAGCTAATAGGCCTTAAGCTCATCACCAAACCAGTTATCACAAACTGCCAGTTCTCACCAACTGACAAGCGTCTGATTTGAAGCGGTTTTGCCATACCCAAAGCGTACGAAACTTGGCGACTAATTTATTGAAGCTGAAATTTAGCTGCCAATTTAAGCGTCAGTAACATGGCATTTTTAATTTCACAGAAGCACCGGAATTTTCACGATGTACTCGAAATTGTCTTAGACATAGTGTAAAGCCAAGTTGTTTATGCTATAAGCTTATTTCTATGGAGATAATACACACACGGTCTGGTTCTTATCTTGATTAGACATGTTATTTGTTTATCGTAACGTGATGAGGAACACAGTGCCCGGTTGCCATAGCAATAATATATATAATTTTCCCACCAAGCAAGCCTAGCCCCACGACTGAACTTTTGAGAGTAAAATAACTCTGGAAACCATCTACAGGTAAAGTTTCAATGGCAAATTGACGAGGTCTTTGTTGAGCGGTTCCAGGGCGGAACTGATTTATATATGTTACGAGTGCGATTAACAATCAGGGTTGATTCCCAGAGGCCAGAGATGAGAGGCATTTTGTCTGGTTCAGTAGGGTGAAGGTGGGAATGGGAACTATTCTGCCTGGATCTGTAAAGATAGAATATATAATTTATTGCCTGTTTAATCCTTGCAGAGAATTGTACTTAAATATTACAAATGACTTTCGAATCTAGCTTGGCAAAGTGGAATACAATCAAGAAGTTCTCAGAGACCTGTTCAGCTCTCTCTGTATCGGTAATAAATATCGTTTGGATATATCGTAACTTTAGAACACCCTCATGTTATAGTAACATTTTCATAAGATTGCAATTGCAGTTAATGAAAACATATGATCAATTAGTTTGCTTTGGACATTTGAACGTATACAGCAAATATTACAATGTGTGGATTTATGATTTCCTCGCTAAGTGAAATATGCTTTTCGTGTGACAGGAAGTCCCTTCACTCCTGCGTAAGCCAATAACTGTCCATCCTCCGGGTGCTATCAAACTCTAACCAAAAAGATTGGTACTAGGCACTACCAAGAGACGGGTATTACAAATTGAGGTACCAACACCAGAAGCATGAAGACAATACCAAATGTAGTACATCCACCAGGCGTCACAGACGCTACCAACGCGGGTACATCTACCACAGCCAATCCACCTGAAGGATGGAAGTACCGCCACGAGAGGAACAAGTTCCACCGAACGTTCCATGAACCATGAACGTGGTGCACCATGCCATCAATCCCAAATCTGAATGACACGAATGATCAAGACTCACCCGAATTGGTGATTCTAAACGACCCCTTCTATCCCAGGGTGGGATAGTATCAACCAGGGTGTGTTCACATCAGGGGGAACAATTTCAGACGGTATCCCCTTTTTTTTCCCTGAGGGACAGATAACACGGAGGTTGCACTTCACTCCCTGAGCAGTCGAAGCTGACCATTCTTCTCCCGCCTCTCCCTATCGGCATCTTGGGACCTCCTCCGCTTCTTCCTACGAACACCTTCCGGAGTCTAAATGATGAGGGCCTTTTGTTTTATACACAATGAAACCTCTTACCGAAACACTCATGGGGATAAATGCGAAAAGCCGAATCTGTTTGTTTATCTGTGTATCTGCCTGCCTTTCTTGTGTGTGTGTGTGTGTGTGTGTGTGTGTGTGTGTGTGTGTGTGTGTGTGTGTGTGTGTGTGTGTGTGTGTGTGTGTGTGTGTGTGTGTGTGATTTCGGGATGAGGGGGATGGGGTGATTGAAGGGGGGGGGGGGCGGGGGAACCTCGTTTAGGGATGACGATGGGAGGGGGTGGGGTGGGGATGGGGGAGAATAGAGGGGGTGGGGTCGTGGTTGGGTAGGGGTGTTATCGTGGGGTTAGGTTAGTAGCGTGAAGACTGAGGCAACACCGAAAGACTGCTGGTAGCGAACAGTGTGTCAGTGGTAGTCGGCCTGAGAGGTCGTCTCTTCAGTGTCTTGAACAGAACGCACGCACCCGTCCTCACGCACGCACATTCGCGTCCTCAAACACACGCACACTGACGTCCTCCATCCCAACACTCACACCTGGCCTGACCAGGTAAGCAAGCACTTGTGGGAACCACCAGCTGGGAATGTAAACAAATCCACCACGTGCTCACGAGGACTCTCCACGTGGTGTTCGCGAAGGTACGTAAGTGTCAAATCTCCTTTACAATCTGAAGTGTTCTCACAGTTGTGGTCACAGTTCACCAAGAGAGTGGTAAGTGGAAGTTCACACCCAGACACCCAAATAATTTTCACGTTTTCAAATAATCATATCAATTACAAATATTAATCGTTTTTATATTTATTGAAGTTATCATAAGAGCGTCTGATGTTGATTCGTGCAAGAAATTGCTTTTCAATATCTGGTGTCCTGCAGTGCCCGGGTCTAGAAGATCTCCATGAAGGTCCCGGCTAATACACAATTACACTCTACCCGCTTCAAGACCCCGGGCCAACACAGAAGCTGGAGTGAATGATCCTACAACAGGAACGGAAGAAGCCAGAAGAATATAAGCTGCCAACATGTCGCACTCTTATGTTGATACATTTAATACCTTATTAATATCCCCCCCCACACGCACACGCACACGAGCGCACACACACACACACACACACACACACACACACACACACACACACACACACACACACACACACACACACACACACACACACACACACAGTTTCAAAGCATTATATGACAAAGAGTATTGGGAAGACGGGACACCACGAGCGTAGCTCTCATCCTGTAACTACACTTAGATAATTGCACACACACACACACACACTCACGATCCCATTCTTGACTTGTGAGAATGCTCTCCCAGTGGAAATTAGACTTCTTGCCAATGTTTGCTGATGGCGCGATAATTACATAGGTAAACATGAAGGAATATGCAGGAAGACAACCTATGAGAACGGCCTATCAAAGTGGCTGCTAGAGTACAACTGTAGCCAAAGCAATGAACGGAAGATTAACACTGGAAACAGGATGGTGGAAGGAAAGTAATGGAAGGGGGGGGGAGGGGGACACTACCCATGAAACAGAACAGAGAAAAACACCTCATGGCAGATATCGCATCAAATCTGTCTCTCGCAGCACACATAAACCAGTAACTTCAGCAGCATATGCAAGGCTAATCAACACAATGAATGTCTATCGAAACCTATCATGGTTGTTGATTTATGTAATAAATTACAGGGTGTCATAATAGTCGTGAAACCGATGGATTGTTTCAAGCGTAGATTAGACATCTATATAAAAGGAAAACTCCCTAGTATGAACCGGTAAGCCTTCTGCAGTTTCTTTAATTTATATGTTATGTTCTTGAATATGTGGCAGCATTATGGATTTAATGTTTATTAAATTAAAAAAGAAATTGGAGAAAGTTCAGGGTACTGAGAGACAATAATTCAAAGAGACTACTATAGAAAACAGTAAAGACACAATCACTACATACAAAACACTGACGGGAGTTACAAACAGAGATCACACTAACGTGATGCATCAAATGAATAAATCCACAAGGGCCGTGACGAGGATTCGAACCTGCGTCCGGGAGCACCCAGACACTGTCTTAATCGACTGAGCTACGACAGGGTTAAAAAGGGTTGAAACCGAAGTTCTACTGAACTTACTGGATCCCGTAGCCTCTCCCATAGTCTGGGATTCGGACGCAGGTTCGAATCCTCGTCACGGCCCTTGTGGATTTGTTCAACTGACGGGAGTTGACAGGAGAGCCAAAGTTCAATAATGTGATTTGACAGTACAATGACAGATGAAGGAAGTTAACAGGACAACCAAGGACAGACTATTTGACAAGGGTGGAAGCTAAGTACACAAATGAGCCTACCTACCTAGGGAGCCGGTCGGCCGAGCGGACAGCACGCTGGACTTGTGATCCTGTGGTCCCGGGTTCGATCCCCGGCGCCGGCGAGAAACATTGGGCAGAGTTTCTTTCACCCTATGCCCCTGTTACCTAGCAGTAAAATAGGTACCTGGGTATTAGTCAGCTGTCACGGGCTACTTCCTGGGGGTGGAGGCCTGGTCAAGGACCGGGCCGCGGGGACACTAAAAAGCCCCGAAATCATCTCAAGATAACCTCCCCGTCACTCCCTCCCAAGTCACCTACACCCTACTCTCAAACTCCTCCCTAGCAATCTACACTCCCTCCCAAGAACCTTATGTCCTCTCACTCGTCCTTTCCACTTTCTCCCTCCCTCAACCTCTCGCCCTGCACGTGCAACTGGACAAGTCTGGCTGTTGTTGACCTTAATGTATGTAATGAGTGAATGGTGTTAATACATGTGTGACTCACAAGCCAACCACTCAGTACATGTTTTGTTTGTCACACACACACACACACACACACACACACACACACACACACACACTAAATTCCTGACAGAAAGATACAATCTTCTTTAAGTACTGTGTTTATTTTGTTTAAATGATGCGTGTGTGTGTGTGTGTGTGTGTGTGTGTGTGTGTGTGTGTGTGTGTGTGTGTTGAGAGGAGTCAGACAAGGGCGTGTGTTGATCCCACATGAACCCATGTTACCCATCAGATGAATATTTGAGCACAGTTGCCTAACAACCAGATACAGTTCAAGTGCTCCGAGGAGCTCCCAACTAGGTCAACGCTCTTAGCTTCTCAGCACATAATTTCTAATTATTTCATCATTAACCATTGCGAATAAACACATTTTTTTGTTTCCATTAAAAGTATTTGTTATTTATGGTCCGATTTGAGTTTGTTTTTTCTCCTCCATGTGATTGCAAGAGTGGTGATGATGGGAGACGCATCATAGTGGCTCATCAGTGTTGATGATTTGGGAAGTGTTGATTTTTTTTTTATGGCGACGAGGGCTGGGGGTGTTTTCTTTGCATGACTCCCACTGTGGTTTGTGTTTGTTTGTGAATAGGTCTGATGTGGCCTAATTTTTTGGGTTCACTGGAATTATTTAGACAGTGCTTTGGTGTCTTGGTAATTTATATGTAGTGAGAGGTCTCCTCCCCCCTGATGTGTGCTCGATGTTAGACGCTCTTTAAGAGTAATAAGTTCATATTTGAACTTTGTTTTAGCAAAGTTCAAATATGCTGTATGAAACAGTGAAGGAGGAAATGTTCAATTGTCTCTGGCGTCTGGAACGTGGCAGTGGATAGAGAGTTCATTTAAATCTGTCCTGTATGTGTAGTTGTGTGGTGTATCCCAGCCTTAGTCTGGTCATTGTTATATCTATTTCTCTGTTTTTATCTTTGACATATTTCCAAGTTTCTCAGGTATTTCGTATGGTTCCATGGTGGACTGTAGAGGATTATATATTTAAAGTTTCGTTGCAATATATATATATATATGTATATATATATATATATATATATATATATATATATATATATATATATATATATATAATATATATATATACATATATATATATATATATATATATATATATATATATATATATATATATATATATATATATATATATATATATATGCAACAATGATCACTAAAACACTGATCCAAATATGCGGAAAAAAACACATGTGAAAAATAGAGAATGTATATATATATTGTCATAGTATTTTCTAATGTGTTTCCGGAAACTTGAGCAGCCAGAGCACCGTTCACCGTGGATCGTGCATGTGGCCACTGTATTAAACCAAATCAAGAAGTGAAACAACCAGCTCCTGGGAAAACATCTCATCCTTGAACTTGTTCTAAACACTGTAAGTAATTAGTGGCTTTATAGTTTGTAGAATATTTATATATTATATATTCATATATATAAATTGGATATATAAATTAAATATTGTTACTAGTGTTAATATTATAATAAAGTTAACCCTTTAAAATCGTATCTAGTGTCGTTTTCTCTTTCAATTTAAGATTAACTGAAGGAAATATGGCGCCAACGACTTCGCAAAGTGAAAAGATACCAGTAATAGACCTGGGAAACTTGGGTGCGTTAATACTCTTTTATTTGTGTGAATGGATTTTCATAATAAATAATCACTTCATTTTGTTTACCAACTCCTGCTTGGAGAGAATGTGAAATGGATTAAAGCGAGACAGAATTACGTAAAATAGTTAAGCTAATATATGAAGGCCTATGTTAGGTAAAAGGACCAGGGTGTTAGAAAAAGGTAACCAGAGGGATCTGACAATCACTCCACACTTCAGATCTGGGACGGGAGACGGAGACCAGCCAGGAGGAGTGGCAGAGGGTGGCGAAGCAGCTGCATCAAGCCTTCACCGATATCGGCTGCGCTTATCTCACCAACCACGGTGTTCCCGACGACAAGGTGAGAGAGAGAGAGAGAGAGAGAGAGAGAGAGAGAGAGAGAGAGAGAGAGAGAGAGAGAGAGAGAGAGAGAGAGAGAGAGAGAGAGAGAGAGGGGGGGGAGAATGAATGAAAGAATAAATGACGAAGTGAAAACTGCATGATTAAACCGTTGCTGTACATTCTCAGCTTCTCGATACCATGAATATCGAACATTAACAGTTTAATAAAACAATCTTCAATGCTGTCACCAACTCGCTTTATACGTAAGGCCATGTAAAGCTCCCCACGCACAAGAAAAAACGTCCCGGCTTGAACCATTATAAAATCCTGCATAACAAAAATGTCCCTGTTATAAAAGTGTTGGTCTATGCTGATAACTTCTTATCATAATTGCTTGTATCACTGTTGAATGCCTTATACGATTGTTTAGGACTGTTATTGAGTTTAAAGTCTGTCGATCTCTGGAAGGCTATTAAGTCCACCATAATAGCTTACTGACCAGCCAACAAGTATACATTAATCCAGAACATAGTCCAGAGCTAAAGTAAACTCCGTGTGTGTGCATAAACCGAGAAATGGGATATTCTTCTCGGTGTATATATATATACCGAGAAGAATACCCTTTATATAAATATGATTGAATTTATTTGATAAACTTAATAACTTTCAGTATTTCTATAATTTTAAACGTGAGAGATTTGCTTTGGTGTGTTGCTAATCTAATAGATCTTACCAAAGATTCCAAACCCATGAATCAAGGACTGTAAGTTTTAATTTAATTACAAATATTATACACAGAAATTTAATATGAAATGAGCAAAGCGACTCGTCTGTTTTAAGACATTTCTATATGAAACTCTTCAGTTATCTTATACTACGTAATGTTTTACTTCATAAATAAATAAGATTAAGGTATAAAAACGATATTCTTATGGCTATGATTAGAAGCAAAACGAAAATAATGGGCTCAGTAGGAGCCATTAGCAAATTATCTGTATTCTATATAATTGTGTGATTCCTTGAGTTTTCATGAAATAGAAAACATAGTTTTAATGTTTATCTAAAAGCATGCAAATGTATGTTCATGTATACATAACTGTCCTTCACATTATGAAAAGAGTATATATGTATATATTTCTACATGTTTGAACAGCTGAGTCTGCTGTATGAAGCAGCTTCTACCTTCTTCAACCTGCCTCAAGAAAAGAAGAACCTCTTTAAATTTGACCCAGAATCCGTGAATGGCTACGTACCCATAGACGTCGAGAAGTGAGTTGCCTTGTTAGAGAGATTAATTGGTTCACGTTAGTTTATTATTTCACAATTTATATTTTAAACTTCTACTTTTTGGAGGACGTTTGCCCCAAGCTTACTGATGAAGTAAGAACAAGGGGTGGCTTTCTGTTGCTATATACTACTGGAGCTTCCTGGTGATATACCGATGGCTTTCTATTCAGATAGTCTACTGGTGGCTTCCTATTGAGATTCACCTCAACAGGAATACATCTCAACACACACAAGCACACACTCGTCACTCCAGCCATATCCACAACTCAACTCACAGCACGCGTCCTCATACCACTAAGAGTCGACGCTCTCTCACCTTTCACAGGTATAGCAGCAGTGACCACGAGCTACACGAAGGTATCTTGGCGAAGAACACCGATCGTATCCCCTGTTTCCAAGAGATTCCTTCATTCAAGACGGCCATCGAATCCTTCCTCTTCTCCTGCAGAACCCTCTCCAAAAAGATCATGGCCGCTATCTCCATAAGTCTCGGTATGTAGAGAGTCAGAGAGAGAGAGAGAGAGAGAGAGAGAGAGAGAGAGAGAGAGAGAGAGAGAGAGAGAGAGAGAGAGAGAGAGAGAGAGAGAGAGAGAGAGAGAGAGAGAGAGAGAGAGAGAGAGGGAGGACGGGGTTCATGGGAATAAAATATATTAAAACGATCTAAGTTCCAAAACGAAGGTTTGGAACTTAGATTTTGCTCTGGAGCACTAAACTCGTGTAACTTGTGTAAATCTTATATGGACGGATGAGTAGGACAGAGAAGCAGGAGGCTGAGAGAGAGAGAGAGAGAGGCAGAGACAGCCATCCTTGATATACGGACTCATAAGCTCAATTATATTTTGTATTTCAAGGCAAAGACAAGGATTACTTGCTGTCAATGCACCAGAAGGCCGGGACTGCCGACAGCCTCACAACGATGCGCATGAACTTCTACCCGCCAGTTCCCCCAACCACCCTGGGGAACACCACCCGCTTCGGCGCCCACAAGGACTACAGCACCTTCTCTCTAATCTTCCAGGATGACAATGGAGGTCTGCAGGTTAGCGTCTGTTCAAACGCATAACGAACAGTCTTTCATTTTAGTTTATATTCCATAACCTTATGAGAGGCTTCCAGGACTAGGTCAACTTTTCTAAGTTTTTCTAAGTATTATCGAGAAAAATCACACTGAATCAGACAACATCATTTGTATTATAAATGTCAAAAAAATATTCTAATGCCAATATATGGACATTTACACCTTACTTTTGGTACTGATTAATATTTGGAAACGTTTTGTAATTTCCTTATCTGCAATTTTACATGAAAAGTTTATTTTTTAATTTGATCTTTCTCGTGATCTCTATCTGTCTGTCTCTGTCTCTCTCTCATTCACTCCTTTCCCAGGTGCTTGACCGTGAGGGTTCGTGGCTGGACGTACCCAACTCGCCTGGCGCCGTTGTCATCCTAGCCGGGGACTTCATAAAGTATTACTCCAACGACAAGTTCAAGGCCGTGGTGAGTTACCAACAACGCTCGCTCAGCTTGTTCGTTGGCGCGCTAGGAATTGTTTGTCTGCGAAAGTTGTCTAAAGGTCTCTGTTAACCGACTTGCTTTCTTGACTCATTTAGCACCCGTACGTTTGGGTTGCTGGCTGTATTGGCTACCGTTAGTATTGCCTATTGTTTGTGTGGGGTGTCTTTTGTGAGGATGTTGTGTGTATTGGGGAGTTATTTATGAGGATTTTGTGTATATGGAGAGGTATTTGAGGATGTTGTATGTGTGTGTGTATGGAGAGTTATTTGTCAGGTTTGTTTATGTTTTTGTTCGTTTGTTTGGGGGTGTTTGTGTTGTGCTACTTGAATAGTGTTCTTTGATTATGTTATTTACATGTGTGAGGTTTTGTATGATGCTGCATTCATGTTCTCCAGAGTACGTGGTCATATGTTCTTTCGTTTCTCGAAATATTAGCATGAGTACACATCTTCCACATCACTGCCACCACCCAAATAAAAAGTAATGGCAATTTGTCTGTTCCACAGATGCATCAGGTTATCATTCCTGCAGAAGAGGTTCAACGGAGGGCTACCAGGCTCTCTCTCATGTACTTCGTCCACGCTGACAACGACATCTTAATGATGCCTTCCTCCTCCTGTGAGAAGTCTCCCACCGTCAAGGAGTATATCATCTCCAGGGCAAAGAAGGCCATTGGCACGGAGCAAAAGGAATAGTCAAGTGTACAACACCTTAACGGAAGAATCAGCAATCTCTACGGAACAAAAGTGCCCTAGAGATTGATTATAAAGGAAAGTGTATGAGAGAGAAATTCTTTCAGCTTCTGTAAACACTTCCAGTAGCCTGGGCAGTTTAGTGTAGTTTATGTTGCTTATTAATGATTAAAATACTAATCCTGGTGGCTGTGGCGCACCCTATACCCTACCATGTGTTCTGTGGCGGACCCCATACCCACCATGTCATCTGTGGCGACTACAGACACAGAAAGTCTGTGTCAAGAGAGTCACACAGGGCAGGACTTCAAATTGAGCTCGCGTAAAAAATCCTTTAAACTTGTCAATTTCATGTTGAACTTTCATCCTTAATCCAGCAGTATATCCCGCTCTCTGTATCTCTTTCTCGGGCTCTTTCCCCTCTCTCTCTCTCTGACATATGTTTCAGTGCATTTAATATATTGATAATCTAATTGACATTCACAATTATGTATTACATAGACTTCTCCAATTAGGCTTATGAACATGTATATAATATAATGGATAAAAAAATAGAATTCTTTAAACTGTAATTTTAATTACACTAGTTAAATATTTCTGGCAAATTCAGGTTAGACCGGTTGTCCCCTCAGAGTAGTTATACATTTTGAGCAATAAATAATTAACCTTTATGAGTAAATAAACCCAAAAATAAAATGTGTTACTTTGATATATGTATTTAATTAACACGGCACATGAACAAAATAATAATTTACCAACAAGTAAGGTAATTTTAAAGCGAAATAAAGGATAAATAGGTACTGCCTATCATCGAATGAAGTCAATGGCTTGTATGCATCATTTGTGTAACCATGCCAAAGTGTATATATAAATGAATGTTTCTAAATAGATTACACGCCTAAGTCGACCACACCACTGCACACGAGCGTCAAGAGAGCAAGGATATAATTGTATACATTTTACATCATTTTGTTGTGTAACTGTACGTCATAATGAACTTTAAATTAGCACAGAAAGGTTAAACAGACAACCATCCAGTCTGGACTGTGAGACAGCTTCATTTTAGATTACATAAGTCTGACGACCGTCCAGTGGACAGCGAACGAAATGTCTACAGTTAATACCACATTTGTTTGAACCTATCTACAAAAAAATTACTTTCCCAAACACACTAAGATATGGAAAGTTAGTGTACGCCTTTGTCTCTATGCACATAATGTACATCTGTACACACACTGCATTTTAATGACTGCCATGGTCATGCAAGCTGATGTACAAGCACACAGGAAGCTGGTAGTTTGGTGATTCTGGTGATGGCGAGGTACTTGGATCAGGATGGGTATCTTTTTCCACCAGGTAATACTAGGAAGCCATTGGCGTCAATAGCAGATGTCCAGATTCGACTTGAACACGTTGGGATCACCTTCGTCTGTAACATTGGATCATCTTTGTTTTAATACAAGGATTTTCGTCCTTAATGTAGGGGCCCTCTTCGTCTGTAATACAGATCATATTCACCATCAGCAGAGGTCATGTTCATCATCTTCACTGATAATTATAGGTGGCTTTGAATCTTTGGATGGTGTGGGCAGCTGCGGTGATGGGAGCGTAGGTGGAGGAGCCATTCAGGGGCCTGATGGAGACCTGGTCGTCAGGGTGGACGAAGAACACCACGGAACGACGAGGAGACCTCAGGAGGACCTCATCCCTAGGTACCACGACTCGGTGCTCCTGTTCGCGCCAAGACCACAAACACACACACGGAAATCAATGTTTTAAGCATTTGTTATGGGGTAAAGATATAGAATTTGTAATAATTTTGAATACAATGTCTGGCACACACATACACGGACGCTGGTAACTCAGGGAGGTGAGAGACACTAACCGTGGCGAGGTACTGGTCTGCCGTCCAGAACTGCAGGAGGTCGCCCACGTTGACCACCACGGCGCCTGGGATGGGCGTCGCGTCGATCCACGCTCCCCCTCGCTCGCGGACCTTAGGTGTAGGCAAACACACGGACACTCAGTATGACGACGCTTCAGTCTTACAGTTTTTAAGCTGTATTTATCTAATGGATAGATGAAATTTAAAAATATAATATAGTATTAGTGAGTGCCATCACCTCCTCGCCTCGAAAGCAAAAATGATTGGGTTCGAGCCGTAATCAGAGATTAACGATTAGGCTCGAAACCTTTACGCTTCTCCTCGCTAGCAATTGGGAACCAGACTGTTAAGAGATTAGAGGGTCCTGTTCTGGAGTAAATATTTATGGAGCATGGTACCTTATCTTGAGGTTACCTTGAGGTGCTTCCGGGGCTCAGCGTCCCCGTGGCCCGGTCGTCGACCAGGCCTCCTGGTTGCTGGACTGATCCAACTGGCTGTTGGACGCGGCTGCTCGCAGCCTGACGTATGAAACCAGTGACGTATCACTGGTAAGAGAGAGATGAATTAAGGTCACCATAAACTGACCTGGAGGCCACCTAGGAGGTCCTGGAAGAGGAGAGTGAAGGTCCCGTAGTCGGTGTGAGCTCCACAGCGGATGGTGTTCTCAGGGACGTCGCCAGGCACGGGAGGGTAGTGAAGGAGGCGCAGGATCGACATGTTGTCGCCGGTGCATATCTCCCTGTGGGTGGAGGTGAAGAAGTCCCGAGCAAGTCCTGTCGACAAGAGGGAAATAAGCTTTGAAAGGTAATGAGGCAAACTTGTGTTTCTACGCGGCCAACAGACACACAAACATCGCGTTATTATGAAGGCGAAAAAAAAAGAGGTTTCTGTGCTATATTATACCTTGTTCTTATTGAAGCGTGAGAGCTATTAAATTTTGTAGTGTGTTGCTTTATTTCGGCCAATACTTACATAGGACATTGGCCATACTATGAAAATATTAGAAAGCTGTTTACTACCATGATCAAATTCATATTGCCCACATAGGCTGCATTGGCCATCTTCAGTAATAACACGCAATTAACAGTAAATAAATTCTATAACTCATAAAATTAAATACCAGTAAAATCAAAATCTAATTTATTTTATCGCGAATTTAATACAGATTACAGATCTATTTTCGTAATATTTTTCTCTACATTAGAAAGAGAATACTCACATAGTTTTATTTATTGTTTGCACGGCGGCGTTCGATCCCCAATAGTCCAAGTGATTGCACACCGTTCCTTTACTCCTTGCTTCCTTCTATCCAAGCTCCTATCCTGTCCTCATATCCCTTCAAGTACTATATTGTAACACTTGTGTAGCACTTTCTCTTGATAAGTACTGTATCTGGCCAAGCTAGGCACGCTATGTCATATCTCCTCACCTAACTAAACTCTTCAAATATAACCTATCGATGGAACCATCAGAGACGAATGGACAAACCAGCGTTCAACCTCGTCCTTTCTTAACTGGTTATCTTCCTGTGTCTATGAGGGAGTGAGGTCATGCCTCGCTTACTAGCCCTGTTGTACATAATGCGTTATAATTTAACTATTCTGACGTTCAAGTTCTTTGTTGAACCTGGCCTCGGAGTTGTGGATGGAGGTGGTTGCCACGACTTCTTCCTCACGCTGTATTGTCTCTTATCTGTCATATGCTCTCTCTCTCTCTCTCTCTCTCTCTCTCTCTCTCTCTCTCTCTCTCTCTCTCTCTCTCTCTCTCTCTCTCTCTCTCTCTCTCTCTCTCTCTCTCTCTCTCTCTCTCTCTCTCTCTCTCTCTCTCTCTCTCTCTGTTTACTGGGTCTCTTTCATACCCACATCATGTTCTAATCTTATTTACAATGTATGTTGCAGGTGCCCGTCACATAAGTTATTTAATCAATTTCTACTGCCCAGATGGTGTTGTTTAAAGGGAACAGTAATCCAGTATTGATTGATTGATCAAGATTAAGCCACCCAAGAGGTGGCACGGGCATGAATAGCCCGCAATAATCCAATATTGAAAAGCTCACGTATTTGTAGTAAAATGTGTTGACCCACCTAGACTGAGAGCGAGGACAGTGAGGAGCCGGTTGGTGAGGACCATACAGGAGTCTATCAGTGAGGCTACGGCGGGCCTCAAGCATGGCACCTCCTCATCCGGAAACCTGCCATCAACGTTCTTCACGTTGTACGCCTCTCGCAGCTCGTGGTACCTCAGCTCTGGGTCCAGTCTGGAACACATTCATTATATATATATAAATATTACTACTTTCACTTCCTCTCATCTTTCCCTTACGTGTTCTAGGTCGAGTCTGCAAGGTATTCCTTTTGTGCAGCACCATCACACACCACTCTCACTATCTCATACATCACTGTTTGATATATTTACATTTACCTGAAGGTAATAAGTATGCAGTGGGTCAAAATTAACCCAAATTCATACATGCGTCTCCTGCCTGCTGATAAGAGCTAGTATGTATACAGGACTAATATGAACAGAGATTTATACCTACTTCTCTCTGTCCACTGCGACATATCCATGATCATCATCGGCTCCTCTTGAAAACCTGTTCTTCGTCTCCTGTTCCAGGCTGAACAACTCGGCGCTTAACTCGAAGACCCGATTTAACTGTTCAACAAAGAACATAGTAATAAAGTTGGCTTCGTTTTCGATAATCGGGGATCCCGGGTTCGATTCTCGGGCGGGGGCACAAAATGGGTGGGCACGTTATCTTTCATCTAATGCCTCTTTTCACCTAGCAGTAAATAGGTATCCGGAGTTAGGCAACTGTTGTGGGGTTGCATCCTTGAAAGGCTCACCAGTTCAACCTTGGGGAAGGGAGACCTGTCCCCGACAAAAACTAATACAGTTAATTAATTATAATACAACGCGTCTATTGTTGTTAGCTATGAACAAGTTTTAGCATAAACTCTCATTAGGATAATATTTGCACAAACGTATCGTATGCGGTCAAGGTAATAAATAACTTCACTTTGCTTAATAGTTTTAATACGAAAGAAATATATCTATACATTCTCCATAATGTGTGGAGAATCTACACATTCTCCATAATTCTCCACATTCTGCCCAAAACGCTTTGCGACTTAGTGGCTTTGCAAAAATGTATTAACACCAATGTTATGTACTCTCACAAACCCAATGTACTTTCTTGTAAATAAATAAATAAATAATTGTGTAAACAGAAACTAAATATTTTTTGGTCAGAACTGTAAAAAATATTACTTTGGAAGATGACTTTAGATCCACAGTCAACAGTAAAAGTTTATAGATTAGAAGATTAAGTAATTATCGGGAGATATCACTAAGCCATCATTATCATATAGCACTTTGAAGGAATATGAGAACACGGAACTGGGACAGGACGGAGGGATTGAATGATCCCCATCACAGGGATCGAACACGGACCTGTAAAAAGTGAGGTCTTCGATGTTGTTTGAATCCGAGTGGATGGACTTACAGATTAGAAATTAATGTTTCTTCCAGTAAGAGCAACTACTCAGCTTCTGCTATGGCCTGACAAACCTCACCTGGTCATCGGGAACACCGTGGTTGATAAGATAAGCGAAGCCGATGTCCGCGAAGGCTTGATGCAGCTCCTGCGCCACCCTCTGCCACGCCTCCTGGCTGGGCTCCGTCTCCCGTCCCAGACCTGGAGTGAGGAGTGGTCCTTATGTCTCCCAGGACCACTCCATGTCTGAAGGAGACCCTGGAGTGGTCCTTATAGTCAAAGGTCACCTTCCCTTAAGACCAATTCTTTAACATCACCTTTGGTTCATTTGAAGTTTGTGCTTTCCAGTCATTTTATTTTTCTATATTTAGAACTGTTTGCCTTTGTCAATTTTTCTGGTTTTACGGTATCTTATACACCGTGAACATGTCTGATTTTGAATTCATGTATTGTACTTGTGCTTGCGGGGAAGGAGTCTTTTGGGGAGTCTCTGCATTTGAAACTGCCTCTGCTGTTGTCTATTTCATAGCTATTGTTCTTGTGTGTGTGTACTCACTCAGTTACTCACCTAGTTACTCACCCAGTTACTCACCCAGTTACTCACTTAGTTACTCACTTAGTTGTCTGTGTGCATGTGTCTGCGTGCTTGTTCATGTGATATTGAATATCAAACGTGTGTTTTTGTCGTTAAGGAAAGCCTTAAATACATACAAACAGACCAGGCAACAATCGTGAACTCACCCAGCTGACCCATATCGACCACTGGGATCTTCCTGCCTGACAGCGGCGACTGCAACATCTTCTGCAAGGAGAAGTAACATCATTAGAATACGGACGTGTTTCTGTTGCATGCCACGCGGTGATATTAATGTATTTACACCGGTTCATGAGATTATATTAATATATTTACACCAATTCATGAGATTATATTAATATATTTACACCAATTCATGAGATTATATTAATATATTTACACCAATTCATGAGATTATATTAATATATTTACACCAATTCATGAGATTATATTAATGTATTTACACCAATTCATGAGGTAATATAGAAGATGGGTAAGCTGCAGTGGGTCTATTGACTCACGGGACACTTCACCTGTACTCACCTAATTGTACTCACCTAATTGTGCTTGCGGGGGTTGAGCTTTGGCTCTTTGGTCCCGCCTCTCAACAGTCAATCAACTGGTGTACAGATTCCTGAGCCTATTGGGCTCTATCATATCTACATTTGAAACTGTGTATGGAGTCAGCCTCCACCACATCACTTCCTAGTGCATTCCATTTATTAACTACTCTGACACTGAAAAAATTCTTTCTAACGTCTCTGTGGCTCATCTGGGTACTAAGTTTCCACCTGTGTCCCCTTGTTCGTGTCCCACCCGTGCTGAAGAGTTTGTCTTTGTCTACCCTGTCAATTCCCCTGAGAATTTTGTAGGTGGTTATCATGTCTCCCCTTACTCTTCTGTTTTCCAGGGATGTGAGGTTCAGCTCCTTTAGCCTTTCCTCGTAGCTCAATCCTCTCAGTTCCGGGATACCTGTGTCCCAATGTTCTTGTTTTTAATGTAACAGTGGATTGGGAGATAGAGATCGATGGATGAGTTGATACACAACGCTGAATAGACTAGTTGAGAGTATCACTTTTAACAATTCTGTGGATATGGTTGTTGGGGTCGATATTTCCTTCATATGTACTCAAGACGATGTACTCACAGTACTCACACAACAAAAAAGGCATAAGACACTGCAAAGCAAGCATAATACACACACTAGCACGGAAGCATACTACTAACATTACAAAGCAAGCATAGACGTCACACTAGCAGGTCAGCATAAACCTCTCATTATAAGGAAATCATTATATTCACACTTGAACGCAAGCATGATATTCCTACTACACAAAAAACATTGTACTCACACTATAAAGAAAGCATAGTACTCACACTTCAAGGAAATCATAGTACTCACACTACAATGAAGGCACAGTACTCACACTACAATTAAAGCATAGTAGTCACACTACAATGAAGGCACAGTACTCACGCTACAATTAAAGCATAGTACTCACTACGAAGAATGTGGTGATCCCTTCTCTAAGACAAAGAAGTTGGGGAATGTTCTCACGGGTCTGGAGACGAGAATCAGAGAAGCTGCCACCTCTGCTACTCTCAAAACACTGACGTGAGAGTTGGGTGGTTACCTTGTGGTTACCTTGCGATGATTTCGGGGTTTAGTTTAGTCCATTTATTTTACACCCCATACCCATCCCGTGGGCGGTGGTGGTGATAAGGGTTACAGTACATAATGGGTTCAGGGACTGAACCTCCTAGTTCATTTAGTTAAGTAACAATCATGTGAAGGTAGTTACATAATTTTTAATGCACACACACACAATTTTGGAGATTTTGGTGTCAATGTACGAGAAAGGCGATAGAGTAGAGGCACTTAACTACAGACCTGTTTCACTTATAAGCAAATTACTTGGAAGAATTATAAGGTATAGACTAGTTACACACCTAGAAAGAATTAGGTTTGTAATCATACAACAATATAAAGATTGTAATTACTATATTATGTATCCTCACAACCCCAGTGTACCTTCTTGTATATGCATAAATAAATAAATAAACAACACGGATAGGATGTCATGCCTGACGAACTTATTGGAGTTTTATGATAAGGTAACGAAAATATTGCAAGACAGAGAGAAGGCTTGGCAGATTGCATATTTCTGGCGTCAGACGAGCTATATTGAAAACCATAACGTTACAGGGACTCACGCAATGAAACTCCTCGACGGTCGGGTGATATTTCAATTCTCGACCAGTCACAGTTCGCCACATTATTACCTGTCTTGTGAAAAGGAGGAAATGTATATGTTTATCTCTCAGAATGTTCGGTAATACGTTTATTGTTTGTGATGTGTGTCTATGTATGTATTAACACGATGTACTGAACGGGGTGAGAATAGCTTAAGCTACCTCATCCGTTTGTATTTATTTTACCTCAATAAACTTATTTCAATTTCAATTTTATCTACCTCTATTGGCTTAGACATGTTATATGATTCAACGATGGAATTAACGCCATATTTATGATGAACGCCATCTTTTTCCAATATCACTGAAGAGGTAAAATAGGCCTTATTATATATGTGTTGTATTACTCACTGGGTTGTCGACCTTCATAACAGTGAAATGGGCGAACAGTTGAGGAACAGTGCCCAATTCGTCTCATCTTGTCTAAGTGTAATTTTGTATGAGGGCAATATAATCTTTCAAGAATAATTATTTAAATCTCCAGACCATTATAACTGAAACTTTTTCCAAAATAATTTAAATTATTTGTATATTAAAATTTCTGGAGGTCATTATCATAAAAGTTCATGAAAAAAACAAATTCTAAATGGGAATTTGTTTAAAATTCTTAAAATAAAATAAAATAAAATAAAATAAAATATAATGGGCATAACATCTAAACCAATTCTCAACTTCATGTTCAATTGGTAGATTTTGTTTGTTCATTATATTGTAAATAATTAATGTAATAAATAATAGTATAAATTGAAATATACAATTTCAAATTAATCTTGATTACATTTGATCGATTTTGTCAATATTCTCGGATGTTTGTTTGTACAAAATAACACAGTCGAATGTATTAACATTTATTCAATGGTCAAATTAGTTTTTTCTAAGAAATTTACATACAGACAAATGGACATGATTATTCATAATAACACAATGTTTGCTCCTTGGTAATGGTATTTCCTGATTGCTTATTCTTCTGGAATTGGAAAATGGACTATTATTTTCCCCTCAAACTTTGTATTTAAGATATTTTAGGGGAAAAATGTGTTAAAGGTGCTTGAAAGCCGCCGACTCCTTAGCTAGAAATGTGACACATTGTTTCATAAGTCTCATAAGTTTCTCATAAGTTTCATAAGCCTTCAGGTACTTTCAAGACGTCTACCCAAAGCTTTCGAAGATCAAAGGTCAAATCAATGCTTGTGGGGATTAATAGCCATTTTCTGTACTTTGGAAGCAAAACCAATCAGATAATTACATTTACTATGTCATCAATAAGGAAATATGTCAATGAATTGGACTAATCTCGTGTCTCTGGACAATCTCACTAATTACCTGAATATTTTTTTCATTGATTCGTCACATTATTATGACTGCATTGTGCATTCCATCAATATGCAATATAAAATCAGGGGCCTTACTAGGTAAATAGTAGTTGAGGAAGTAGTGGTAATAAAGGGTAGTAGTACTTAAATTGGGAGTAGGGGTAATAGTATTGGTGGTAGCAGTAGCAGTATAGTGCTAGTAGTGATGGTGGTAGTAACTGAAGTGATGGGAATAGATGTAGTTGTAGTTCTAGAAGTCGTGGTAGTATTTGTAGTAGTCGTTTAAAGTAGTTGTGTTGGTAGTAGTGGGTAGTAGTAGTAGAGGTGGTGGGAATGGGAGTCACTACTTGACCAAGTGTTGGTAGTTATGGGGTCACTGCTTGGCCAGGTGGTGGTTTGAAGGAAATGGCCTGGCTAGCTAATTGGGAAGATAATCGTGGTAATGGTAGCTGATGGTAACACACAAGATCTGGTCGTCAGCAGCGTTGGTCGTCGGTGGTGTTGACACACACGATCTAGTCGCCTCTATTTATAAGCCATAGTTAACCTGCTGCTGGCATACTCCAAGACAGTTGTAGGCTTCTCTTTAGAGGTGCCCTGTGGCCTCATGGGAGTATGGCCATCTGCGTGAGTGAAGTAGGCGACGGAGAGGCGATGTGTCTTTCGCTTTAACTCTTCGGCAGGAATCACCACTCGATGGACCTGGTATGACACAAAGGAAAATATTAGCACATAAACAAATCCACAAGGACCGTGACGAGGATTCGAACCTGCGTCCGGGAGCATCCCAGACGCTGCCTTAATCGACTGAGTTACGACATGGTCAAAAGGAGTTGTGGATTTGTTCATTTGATGCATCACGCAATTGTGATTTCTGTGGGTTATTAGCACATAAGGATCTCAGTATCATCATGTGAGTCTCAATTTTACACTATTGAATGGTCTCTGAACCTAAATGACCTAGGAACAACGAAAGGCCTAATCATTCTGAGAGAGAAGGGCAAGAAGTGACATGATCACAACGTACAAGATTCATTGAGGCACTGGCAAAGTGGATATAAAATTAAGCGATTAGCGTGATAAATGTGATAAAAAGTATGAAAGTCACAAGCATTTTTAGTAGACGACTGGCGACAGATTAGAGGAGTACTATATACAGTAGGAGACAAACATACACAAATGGAAACAAAACATATGACAAATGTGTGGCATAAAATAACTGTACCAAGAGATAGCATCTGCAGCCACCACCGCCTAAGTTACTCACCGGAGCAATGACCTTGTTATCGGAGTAGTTGGTGAGAAACTCTCCAGCCAGGATAAGAATAGCTCCTGGCATTGAACCAGCATCAAGCCACGTCCCATCTTGGTCACGAATCTGTTGCAGAGTCTCTCATAACTTCATAATGTTAGGGCAATCTTAGTAGCTCCTCTCTATCTCAATGGCAGTATAGTGTAACCTTGGATGAAGATTGGGCCTTTGAATTTGGCAAAAGCTGTTCTACATCCAAGGTTACACTACTAATTACGGATGGAAGATGGAAATTGTTGAGAATTTTTTAAGTCTGAGGAGAGTTAAGCATAGCTATTGCTTATATGTCCTAAAATATTATTAGAGGGTTGTTTTTATATAACTGAACCTCGTAAATTAAACGACTAAGGCATACATTTTTCCAGGACTGCATAAACTGATGTACAAACCACCAGTGTTATTATAAACAATCATAAACAAACCTGAGTTGTTTATGTACACTTAAGGCACCGGAAACAGTGCATAGCCCCCCCACAGGACAATAAACTGACCTGGAGTCCACCCATATCATCCTGGAAGATGAAGGTGAAGGTGGTATAGTCTGTGTGTGCGCTGAAGCGAGTTGCATTCTCAAGGACGGTGGCTGGGACTGGTGGGTAGTAGTTGACACGCAAGCAGGGCACATTGTTCTTGGTGCCCACCTGCTGGTGCATAGACACAAAGTAATCCATCTCCTTCCCTGCTCAAACGAAAAACAAAAACAATCTTAATTTACAAAAGTTCACGCAAGAGAGCAGTGATTTAGATACCGTGTAGAAACTTTACTCACCGAGGCTGAGGGCTACTGCCTTCATGAGCCTGATGGAGAGGGTCCTGCAGGACTTGAAGAGACTGGCTATGGAGGGCCTGAAGGACGGTACCTCTGCGTCAGGAAATACGGCTTCGGGAGACTTAATATTATACGTCTCATGCAGCTCCTGAAGCTCAGCGAACCTGCAAGAAAAATCCGATTCGTCACAGAACATCGTAGTAATAATAACATTATTATTATTATTATTATTATTATTATTATTATTATTATTATTATTATTATTAAGTATTTATGAAAATAATACCTGTGCAGGCGATGAGTCACAATAACGTGGCTAAAGAAAGTTGACCAGACCACACACTAGAAGGTGAAGGGACGACAATGCCACATTACGTCGTCCTTTCACCTTCTAGTGTGTCGGGGTCGTCCCTTCACCTTCTAGTGTGTCAGGGGTCGTCCCTTCACCTTCTAGTGTGTCAGGGGTCGTCCCTTCACCTTCTAGTGTGTCAGGGGTCGTCCCTTCACCTTCTAGTGTGTCAGGGGTCGTCCCTTCACCTTCTAGTGTGTGGTCTGGACAAAAAAAGAATACCTGATCTTACCTCTCCTTCCCCGAAGCGATATAACCCTCGTGTGTGTTGAGGTCCTTCGCATACTTGTTCTTCACATTCTGGTCGAGGCAAAAGAACTCCGACCCAGAACTGAAGACACTCTCCAACTGCTCAGTCCATCAATCCAAGAATCAATAAATACTTATATTTGTTCATTGGTATATCAATAAAGCCACTACCACAATATTTATCAATAAATGTGCTAATCTTGAGGTTATCTTGAGATGATTTCGGGGCTTTAAGTGTCCCCGCGGCCCGGTCCTCGACCAGGCCTCCACCCCCAGGAAGCAGCCCGTGACAGCTGGCTAACACCCAGGTACCTATTTTACTGCTAGGTAACAGGGGCATAGGGTGAAAGAAACTCTGCCCAATGTTTCTCGCCGGCGCCTGGGATCGAACCCAGGATCACAGGATCACAAGTCCAGCGTGCTGTCCGCTCGGCCGACCGGCTCCCCAACAATACCTAGAATCAATACCTAATAATCCAACAATACCAAGAATCAATACTGATTTCAAACGAGAAGGTTGATCTTCAAATGGTAATTCTGTACAATAAGACAGTCCTCTCTCACCTGGTCGTCGGGAACACCGTGGTTAATGATGTAAGCGCAGCCGATATTGGTGAAGGCTTGAAGCAGCTGCTCCGCCACCCTCTGCCACTCCTGCTGGCTGGGCTCCGTCTCCCGTCTCAGACCTGGAGTCAAAACTCCAGGATTATTATTATTATAAGAACCTACCTTGGTCTTAATAATAATAATAATGATAAAACAGGAGTCTTGAGGAAAATTCAAACCTGCTCACTGGATACTCGCAAGCACACGCTTTACCCCATTGAACCATGATATGCTAGAAAAATAATGTAACCTGGAATTCAACTGCATGCTCTAGGGGCTCCTGAGGCATCACCTGAATACCAAATCATGGTTTCAAGGTCGAACTACTAACCCTTCCCAGAATGCAACCCCACAACATCATATCTTCTGGGTATACGTATTTACTGCTGGGTGAAGAGGGGCATTAGGTGATTGGAAACGCGCCCAACCGTTGCTGTCGCTATTCTTCAACTTTAGGTCCCTTTTACCTAAGGTCTCCGACCCTGAACCCCAGCTCCACTGTGCCAGTCCCCCACTTGATCCAGTTAACCTTTCGTTACGTCAAGATCTGCTCTCCTGGGCCAGGACATCCCTGTGACTCCTATTCCTTTTCCTGCCGTTCCGCCTTGTCTCAACCCTGCATTCCGTGTGGAATTGGCCCAAGTCATCTTTCAAACTGTTCTGCCTCCCTGCATCCAGGTTACCCCACTTGGCTCAAGTACCCTTTACGTAGGTCAAGACACTTACCCATTTTGGACTGGGAATATTAAACGCCACACCTTGCCATAAGCGAATATATAACACAAAAACAGCAGCCGCTATTAAATTAGCTTGGAATTGAAAAAAATCCCGATAAAATCACAGAAACTGATTACATATCGCTAGCGTGAACCTTGCTAACCTAGCTCGACATGTTAACTCACCCAGCTGACCCAGGTTGACCACAGGAATCTTGCTGCATGAAGACATTGCCAGCGACGACGTCTTGGCTGCTCTTATAGCTACCTGAGAAAATTATAAATATGAAATATATTATTTAATTATCAAATATAACAATAAAATTAACAACTAAAAATCAAGAGCAGCAACATTGCTGGAGTCCCTTCTGCACTGTACATCTCCAGGCAGATCTGTCCGCAGCTTCTGCCTCCCAAGTGTTGATGTCGATGTTCATCTGCTTGAGGTCGCGTTTGCAGGCGTTTTTGAAATGCAGCTGAAGTCTTCCAGTGGGTCTCCTTCCTGATGCCAGTTCTCATGATGATGCTAGTGATGATAGTTGATGATAGTTCTCCTTGATGATGCCAGATATATTTATTCATAATAAAGCACAAAAAAACACAAAAGGAAGGGGGTGGTAGGAGAAAAACACTCAGAAACTGTATTAAAGGGGAACCCAAACATTCCCTCTAATGCGTTATGTGTGGTTTCCTCCGAGGCTAAGGGTCCCCTTCTTCCAGCCTGAAGTGTTACTCTCTTCCTTATATATATATATATATATATATATATATATATATATATATATATATATATATATATATATATATATATATATATATATATATAAACTGTGACGAGGAAGGAATGAGAAACAGACGTGTCATCCGGACTAGTGAGCCGCATTATGGTTGCATCTCGTCTGAGAGCCAAAAACAGTTTCACCAAGCATAGTTATTAATTCCTTCACCATTGCAATTGATATTAACATAAAATATGGAAAAGTTTGGAATCTAATCCAGTATAAGTTAGCAACATCAACTTGACAGCAAATTTAATTTAAATTATATATTATATAGGAAAATCTTAATAAACAACCTAGGATTAGGTGTTGGTTGCAGAGTTGAAGATTGTTGAGGTGTACCTGGCGAAGGAGAGTGTGAACGAGATGCTCCAGTTCACAGATGGATGGCGATTGCAGTGGGGCTGACGATGGGGCGTATGGACAAGATACTCCTATCTACAAACTTGATCTCACTCCTGATATTTGTAGTAGAAAAGATTTAATCATTGCCGTCTCCTCGACTCTCATTGGCTCTCAGGTAGAAATAAATTACTTACTGAGCACGTCGTGTTTTCAAGGGAACTAGATTTTGCTTGCGCAAACACGTACACACACACACACACACACACACACACACACACACACACACACACACACACACACACACACACACACACACACACACACACACACACACACACACACGGATAAGAAAACAGTTTTAAGGTGTTATGGATATGGAAGTGTCATAGGCGTTTCACGGTTAGCCCCACTGCCACTTTTTAAGAAATATTGGCACCTATAACAATTCCCTGCAATTTTCAGAAGTTTAAAATCGGGGATTAATTTTTTGCATAATTTGTATCCGTTTTTCAGCAGTCCATAATAATAAATTATCACACAGAGAGAAAGAAAGGAGGGTGGGGTGAGGGAGAGTGAGAGTGCTAAGTGCTAAGTCAAATATTGAAATCCACATTCTAGTTATTTTTCTAGTATAACAATCAATAGATGCAAATCCCAGTGATTTTAAAGGTCGCCTAATGAAACTAGAACACTGATTGGAAAACTTACAAATCCAACTGTGATTTCATCTAATGACAACTAAAATTTAAAAAAAAGTTTGTGATAAATTTGCCCTAAAATATTAGATGGAAGGATATGCAACATTGCACAAAATTTACAATTAGGAGTGAAATGACTGTTGCAGATGAAACTTGAAAAATGCCTCCAATGATTATTTGATCAACCAGGCTGTGTTGCCTATGTCTGACTGCAGGCTACAGCCACCAACATTCGGGTTAACTATACCACCCCCAGAAGGCAGGTCAGAAAACGTACAGATGAGCACTGACCTCCGATAACACCACACAAAATATTTAAGATAGCGTGATGATTAATGTATGACTCCTTGAGGGCGGGTTTATGACTGATAAATAACACTGTTTGAGAGAGGATTGAAGACTAAATATGACCATTTAGGAATTCTTAAAAAAATCTTTGCTTAAAAGTCGTTAAAAACAGCATAGATTTCATGCAAGGAAAGATTAAACAAACTTCAAATAATACAATTCAGAATTATTATATTACAATACATTTCAAATCACATTCTCAGCAACTTAGATAAATGTACTCTCTACATCGGGAACGAAACGATTGAGCGCTTCCCAATTATATTATACTCCTCTCAAGTGGACCTCAGCCGATTTACCTAGAGCGACGGCTACTATCAGTTCCATTATCTCTTGAGTGTAGAAGTCAGTGGTTCTATCTCTTGAGTGTAGAAGTCAATGGTCTGAGTGTAGAAGTTAGCACAGCTATATCCGGGTGTGAAAGTCAGTGTTATTATTTCTGGGTGTGGATATCATTGCTATTCTCTCTTGATGTAGATGTTGTTCAGCTGCTGGTACAGATACTGACGAACTTCGAGGCGGTTGACGGTGGAGGAGGAGCCCTCAGGCGCCATGGGAAGGTGGCCGTCAGGGATAACGAAGTATATGATGGCATTTCGAGCGGGTGTTCGCCGCTCGTCGCTTTTAGGAACCACCACTCGATGCACCTGAAAGAGGATCGTTGGACTTTATCGTTGAACTGGTGACCAGTATATGTGAATAGGACTTGAGTGGACTGTCAAGGATTTGACAGATATAGTGGCGGATATATAACAGGCGACAAAGGGGATAGGATATATGTGGCAAGTGGAATAAAATACAACTGTTAAATCCAACAATTGCAAGAATAGAGGAATCTCAGTTTGGTTACCGCGGCGATGAACTTGTCGTCAGAGTTGAACTTGAGGAAGTCTCCCACCATGACCAAGACGGCGCCTGGCACAGGGACAGCGTCTTGCCACACCCCCTGGCGGTCCTGCACCTGTTGAAGGAGATGTCAGCCATTTATTCACACACCCGAAAGAGCCATATATATACAGGACAGTTACCCCAAAGGGATGATCTCCCTTTACCTCTTCGTCTCTCTCACTCTCCAACCCTGAATGAATATATCAAGTACAGTTCTGCAGCAAGGCAAACTGACTTAGCGCATCAATTGGTATGCAAGCTTAGAGACGCCGGGATGCTACCACTGACCTGGAGGCCGCCAGCGTCGTCCTGGAAAAGGAAAGTGAGGGTGCCGAAGTCAGAGTGGGCGGCGAAACGTACAGCTCCATCGGCGACGGTGGCTGGTACAGCGGGATAGTGGTTGACACGTAGGCATGTCAGGCCGTTCCTCGAGCCCAGCTCCTGGTGCATGCTGACCAACCACTCCTTCTCCTTGCCTGTGGGTATGGAGTAGCTCGCTTTAGCCATCTGGATAATGAAAATTTAGCATCGGAATCGCTAGATCGTTGACGTTGCAACCTCATTTGCTTCTCGAGGAATTGCAGACCTGTTTATATATGCGAGGTGATGTCTTTGAACATCATAGTTCTGCAAGGGTATCTATTATGTTAAGTATGTCACCTATGCACATATTTAATAAGTCAATATTGACTTATTAAATTTGCAAGAACGGGTTGAGATCTGCAGTTATTCATTCATTATTCATTGGCAATTCAGCATCATTTGCCTTCGTATAACATCTCCTGGTTTTGTGACGTATAACATCTCCTGGTTTTGTGATTCATGTTATCACCATCTTAATATGATAGCACATTCTATGCTTACACTTTGATGGAGATAACATTAGCGTTTAGTCCTTAATGTGTTGAAGGCAAGGGAACTATCAGAGGAAAGCGCCAAGCCATTACGACTATATAACACTTGGAAGGAATCAGGATAAGGATTTGGGATAAGATGGGGGGAAGGAATTGTACCCAACAACTTGGACAATCGGGGATTGAACGCTGATCTACATGAAGCGAGACCGTCGCTCTACCGTCCATCCCAAGTGGTTAAGCTTATCATCATGTACTTTAAATTGCTGTAGTATGCAGGATTTAGATTACACAAAACTTAATACATGCAAGGTTTAAGTTATGCAGGACTTCGGTTGTGCAGAACGTAACTTATACAAAACATAAGTTACGCATGATTGTACAATGTTCCAGCCACCAGCTATAAAGTTATGTACTGTAATGTATTTTTTCCAAAATATCAAAGTCGATCAGATGCTAAAAAGATGATAACTTACTCAGAGCTCGTGTACAATGTATTATACATGAGTTATATATATATTAGTGTTTCTGAACACTCTTATTATTATGTCAAGTAAAAATGGTACTGGTCAGAGGAGAGAATAAAAGATGCACTTAACAGGGCAGTCTCATATCTGGACTATGTAAGATAAGAGACATTTTATCACCCGCTCATGACGAACGCTTGTGAATGTAAACACGTGACGTGTATATGTGTGTGTGTACTCACCTAGTTGTGCTTGCGGGGGTTGAGCTCTGGCTCTTTGGTCCCGCCTCTCAACCGTCAATCAACAGGTGTACAGATTCCTGAGCCCATTGGGCTCTATCATATCTACACTTGAAACTGTGTATGGAGTCAGCCTCCACCACATCACTTCCTAATGCATTCCATTTGTCAACCATTCTGACACTAAAAAAGTTCTTTCTAATATCTCTGTGGCTCATTTGGGCACTCAGTTTCCACCTGTGTCCCCTAGTGCGTGTGCCCCTTGTGTTAAACAGCTGTGTGTGCGTGTGTACTCACCTAGTTTTGCTTGCGGGGGTTGAGCTTTGGCTCTTTGGTCCCGCCTCTCTACTGTCAATCAACTGTTGTACAGATTCCTGTGTGTGAAATAAATGCTTGTACTTATTTCTCATTGACACAAAACATCAAGAAGAATGACAACCACGCTCATTTCCCCTTTCCTAACCCTCTCTCTTTCTTTCCCCTTCTTCCTACCCTTTCTCCCTCCCCTTTGCCTTCCTCCTCTGCTAACTACACTTAACTCATCTAGTAGGTTGGCGCCTCCTTCATCTAAGCTGTCCATTTGTTTTATCACGTCCCTCTCCACGTCATTATTCCTGCCTGACCTGCTCCTCCTGGCACTCACCGAGGCTCAGGGCCACGGCCTTCATGACCCGGGTGGAGAGCGCCTTGTAGTACTCCAGAAGGGAGGTCAAGGCCGGCCTGAAGGACGGTACTTCTTTGTCAGGTAGGTCCTCCTCGCCTGTCTTAACGATGAAGCCCTCATTGAGTTCCTCGTCGTTGATCCTACGGGAAGGAAGGAGTCCCAGACACATTCGATATATCTTTGACTAGCATTAATACAAAAAAATAAGAAAGTGGAAGACGATTAGATTAAAACGATTAAGACGAAGTAGATTAAAATTAAGCAAATTAAAAGCAAATAGATAAAGAAACGAAGACAATAACTTCAACAATCTTTAACCAAGATATTTCACTTATCATTAAAGACAAAGATTGTGTTAATCGAAATAAAAAAATGTTAAGAAACATGGAGAAAGTTCGAGGGCACTCACGACTCTGTCTGCGGGCTGATGTAGCCTGAGTTAGTCTCCAGATTATGAGCGAACTCATCCTTCTTGGTGCGGTTCAGGGAGAAGAAGTCGGCCCCTGAGACCAGCAGACGACTCACCTGGTCGTCGGGAACACCGTGGTTGGTGAGATAAGCGCAGCCGATATCGGTGAAGGCTTGATGCAGCTGCTGCGCCACCCTCTGCCACTCCTCCTGGCTGGGCTCCGTCTCCCGTCCCAGACCTGGTAATGAGCAGGCAACAGTGTTTATCTGACTTAACAAAATGTTGATTACCTAGCCTCCCTGGCTTGGTGCCTTCTTTTGTAATGACTTACTTGGTTACCTAGCTCATCTCCCAATCAATATCTGAAAAGCCTAACATTTTGCTTTAGTCAACCAAATGTATGATGGAAAATATATTTGAATGAAGGCGCAGCATCCCTGGAAGAACCTGAGATGAAAGATTACTGTATACTAAGATAAAGTAACTCACCCAGCTGACCCAGATCTACCACTGAGATCTTCTTGCTTTGAGGCGTTTCTGAATCCATGTCCTCACTACTCTTAGAATCTCCTGCAACAGAAAGTGAAACATTGATATTGAGATTTAATTTTCAACTATATAATGAACTTTATCGTGCCATAATCAGTAACCACATTTGCTCCTTCATACCCACAAACATTTGCGCGGGAAGAGACACAACAAGAACTGGTCACTTATCCAAAGCTGATTAGTTTTTATCACAGCACTCCCTGATATCAGCGACTGTCCCCTAGTTTTCCTCTTGTTTTCTCAGAAAACTTTGAAGGGGAGCTCTTATGTGAGTGTTCTGCCATCACTGGTGTGTGAACTCAGCTTCAGGGGCACTCAACATGGCTTGTTCTATGTGTGTACTGACAACAACAAGGCTTGTTCTATATCTCTTGGAGACTCCTTACTTTAAATTACTTTGTAATGACATCAGCTTCAGTTGATGAGTTTACGAAATATTACCAAATATGTTGACTAAACCACACACTAAAAAGTGAAGGGACGATGACGTTTCGGTCCATCCTGAACCGTTCTCAAGTCGATTGTGAATTCGATTCTCAAGTCGATTACCAAATATGATTTTCAAGTATTATAATTTCAAAATGGTGCTGAGGAAGTTTTTGCTTTCCAAATAAAATGGCTGTAATGCTCTATATCATGCATTCAGCTAAAACTTTTATCACACTGAGAACCAGCATTCTTCACTAAAAATGTGTTATACAGAAATGAATGTGAGGCAATGAACGCAAAAGCCTTTTTAAATGCCAAAGTAACCTAAGAATAGTACAGAAGAAGACGATCAGATATCGTCAAGCTAAACACGACATAGAGACAGAGAACTGTGACTGCCGTCTGTGTGTATTGACAACAAACCTCTCATGATACCAAGTAGAGGGGGTCAAGGGTCAGTCCTCACGCGGCGTCTCCACGTCCAGCGTAGTAACCTAGATCATACACACACACACACACACACACACGCACACACACACACACAAACACACACATACACATACCAATGTAACGGTTCTATTGTTACGTAAAGTATGGTGACAAATAAACACAGACACTAAGATACTATATATATATTTGGTCGAATATACAGAAGTACACAGGTGATACTTTGGTGTGAGTTGAGCGCACTGAGATACGCTCAGTATCGGTACAGTATCTCGCAAGTGTCTGCTCTAGACCACACTTGAAAGTAGACACAAGGGGACACAGGTGGAAACTGAGTGCCCAAATGAGCCACAGAGATATTAGAAAGAACTTTTTTAGTGTCAGAGTGGTTGACAAATGGAATGCATTAGGAAGTGATGTGGTGGAGGCTGACTCCATACACAGTTTCAAGTGTAGATATGACAGAGCCCGATAGGCTCATGAATATGTACACCTGTTGATTGACGGTTGAGAGGCGGGACCAAAGAGCCAGAGCTCAACCCCCGCAAACACAACTAGGTGAGTACAACTAGGTGAGTACACACACACACACACACACACACACACACAGTTGATTGTGAGTAAATCACAATCAATCATTAGTTGATTGACAGTTGAGAAGCAGTTGATTTACAGTTGAGAGGCTATTCTCAAGAGAGGAGAGCGGAAGGCGGGGTCCAAGAGCTAATAGCTCGATTCTGCAGACACAAATAGTAACTACAAATAACACAAATACACACACACGCAAATATTCCATTAAATAATAATAAAAACTTATATCCGGCACAATAACTATAGTGATAAACACATTTCGTGTTTCGTGATAACGTAAACAAATGCTTTTACAATCAAGCGCGGGTAACCAACACGATAACAGCAACAATATCACCTCCACTCTGTAACATTGTGATGAATAAATCAAATATTATTTACCTGAATTTACCTGGCGAACTATTTCTCTAGTGGCCTCGACGTGAACAGGAAGCTAGCGGCTTGTCTATAGTCCCTCATTTGTTCTGATGATTTTATCAAACTGGTTTTGAAATTCAGCAGTATTAACCCGTCAAAACCCTAAAAGAATGTAAGGTTTTGGCAGGTAGGCGGTTCCATGGGTTTATACCCCTATGGGTGCAAAAGTATCTCTTGTTTTCTGTCCTACATTGTGACTTGTTGAGCTTGAAAGTGTTGCCCCCTTGTATGTATTACATCTGACCTTTTGAAAAAGTTGTCTGGATCAATATCCTCCTAATTGCTCAGTATTTAATTTGCTTTTAAAAGATGTGCTCTGTTATGTCTGGTTTGCAATGTTGTTAGCCTAGTGGCCCTCACCCGTTCCTGGTATGAAAGTCGACTTAGTTATGGAGTGATTTTTGTTGACCGGTGTTGAACTTTCTCCAAATACAAAGAAATATACTTTCTAATAATACTTTCTGATGACGAGGGCTCCATACTTGTATACAATATTCCATGTGGGGGCGCACCAGAGAATACAGTTGAATAGCTACCTTGTTTTTCTTGCAGTCATATCCGACACTAGTTCCATAGACCTTAATACTATGCAGATGACACCTGCCTGTCAGCCGGGTGCTATACTGAGATGCGTCTCCAGTTAAAGGGTTATAGCCCAAGGTGTCATGTAAGCTCTTACGCTATTGGACGTTGAGTGTCTTACTCAGCTATTGGTTTATCACCACAGTGTTGCCCTTATATGTGTCAACATAAATATTTGTTTTGTTACTCGCCAAACTTTACTACAAGTGCAGGGACTTGTTAAAGCACAGTTCAAGTATAGGTACTTGTCAAAGCAGTGTACAAGCACAGACAGCTATAGAAGAACGATGTAAGTACAGGAACTTATAGAAGCAGTGTACATGTATAGACACAAGCAGTGAATACAAGCACAGGCACTTAAAGAACCAGTGTAAAATCACAGACACTTGTAAGATTGAAAATATAAGTACTTCCAACCATCATTAATGATAAACTAATACGAAACACTACTGTTGTTGTGTTAGATTGTGTTGTTGTGTTTTTCCTCCCCGAAACGCTTTGCGTAATAGTGGCTTATGGCATTATATGTACTAGCTCTATCTATAATCCATCAACTTTTGTATCTTACCTTGTATGTATGTACCTTACCTGAATAAAAATTTAATTATATTATTACCTGAATAAAAATTTATTTATTATTATTTATAGATATCTAATCAAATCATATTGTTTCATATACCATAATGATAACCTTTTACTCCAAATCATTTGACACGAAGCTTTGGGATATTGAATGCTGAAGAGAATGCTGTTTTGTGAGGACTCAGATGTCACATTTCCCTCAGCTGAAGAGTTGCAGCAGCATAATGCTTCCTCTCCTGCGTTCGCATAGTCATACTGACTTAGTGGACTCCTGATAATCCTCCTCCTCACCACTTCTTTTGCAGACTGGTTTTACTCAGTCCTTATAAACGCTGGTACTGTCAGACGTATTCTTCAACGAGAGTAGTGTTCTTACTTATCAAAGAACGCTGATATCATTGGTTTCTCCTGGGCTTATATCAAGATACTAAAATTTGGGTAGTGTAGGGTGAGCAAGAATGAAAGGGTTTCTCCTTAAAGACAACATGGCTTATTTTCTGTGAATTCTACTTCCAGTTTATGACAGAAAATGGAGCCTTTTGCATCAAATCACTCTTTCTTGCAAATTTGGCGCCATATCCCCGTTTAATATTATTGATGTTCTCCGTTGGATGTTTTTACCTTTGTATCATATATTTTTATGCAAAACAAAATTAAGTCATAATAAATCTAAAACTAACAGATAATTAGACTTCGGAACAGTAGTGATTACAAAGATGTATTCGTGAGAGCTGCCTCTCCTTTACACACAGAAACATTAGTGAAGGAGGCAATGCTGGACGAAGACTCTCAACACCAGAGGATCCCGTTAGTGGACCTGGGGCAGTTGGGTGAGTTGAGTCGCTCTTTGTGTCTGCGTGTGGGAGTTCCTCCTGTGTGCGTGCGGTGGGGAGGGTTCTCTTTGTGTGTGGAGGGCTTTTCCTTGTGTGTGCGCGTGAGTTCCTCCTTGTGTGTCTGCGTGTGAGAGTTCCTCCTTTTGTGTGTGTGTGTGTGTGATTGGTTCCTCCTTTTGTGTATGTGAGAGTTTATTTACCTCGTTGAATTCGCTTATTTGTGGATGTGAAAGCTGAATTCTGCCTCTTGGGTTCTACTTGTCAACCATAATTAAGAATATAGGAATAATTGAAACCGTAGAAGGTCTAGTGACCTATGCTAGGCAGCGTCTATTTGCACTCAATCATACTAGCTCATTTGTCTAATCTCTTGTACACCTGAAATAATCTAACAATCCAACGTCTATTATGCATGCAACTTTGTAATTTACTCCATTAACCAGTAGCCCTGTTTCCAAACCATTATTTATCCAGGGCGTTTTTTAATCTGTAATTATCAAATATACATCCACCATTTGGTGTTCTATTTTGTTTTGATAGTTTTAACACATTTGTATCCCACCTGTCATACCATTTTCGTCAGTTTTTTTAATCGTCACTCATTCAGTTGTCTATTCCCTTGAGTCCTTGTATGGAGTCGTCCTCAGCCACTCTACTTCGTAACACATACGATATGTATACTTTTCTGACACTGAAAACTTTATTATGTGAAATTTTTCTTTTGCTCATTCGGATGCTTTCCATCTGTGTCCCTGTGTTTGTTAGTCCGTGCTAACTAGTCTGTTATCTTCCCTGTCTATTAACTTGGGTACTTTTCATGTGGTAATCACTTCTTTCCTGATTCTTCTCTCTTCCAGTGACGTAAGGTCTAGTTCATTTAGCGTTCTCTGGTGTCTCATACCTCTGAAAATCTGGTGGAATTTTATCAGTTTCGTTTCGTGTTTTACGATATATTTACCCCCCATCCTGGCTTGATATGTGGTATCCTGTGTCTTGAACGCCCTCTTGTTCGAATTTCCAGGATCTCAGTCAATATTATTTCTGGATGTTGGTTGGTTTTATGTTGAGTTTTTTCACAGAAATATCACAGGATATGCTGTCACAGGATATGCTATCAGTACCGTTTTTGCCTGGGTAGGAGGTAGGGGGTTATATATATGCCTGCTTTTAGTGGTATATTTAATGCAGAAGTCCTAGGTCTTGGGCATGAGGTGAGTGGGGTGCCCTGGAACTGGAGGAAAGTTTTAGAACGAGAAAAAAGGGGTCATAGATGTTGACCTGGTGGAGATTAAGATCACTCCACACTACATGTCAGGGTCAACGGCAGGAAGAAGACCTGGGGAATATAAGGACCACTCCACACTCCAGGTCTGGAACGGGAGACGGAGCCCAGCCAGGAGGTGTGGCAGAGGGTGGCGCAGCAGCTGCATCAAGCCTTCGCGGACATCGGCTGCGCTTATCTCACCAACCACGGTGTTCCCGACGACCAGGTGAGAGAGAGAGATATGACAGAAAGATGAATAATTAACATTATCATTTGCTTTCATTAATGATAATGCCCTTATCAGCTTAGATTGCTATACAACTCGGCGGCGGAGTTTTTCGGGCTTGACCAGACCAAGAAAGCTAGCTGCGAGGAAGACCCAAGCAAGCACCGAGGCTACATTCGCCTGAAGCAGGAGAGGTAGGTGGTGAAGCGGCAGTCTTAATGTTCCCTCTTCTCCCTCGAAGTTATTTGATAAATTATAATTATTATTATGCACAAAAAAATCACACTAACGTGACATATCAATGAGAAAATCAGTAGCTTTTGTCAGTAGGAGGAAAATCAGTAGGAGGATTCTAGCTTTTGGGTGTTTTAAACTTTTGCTTACAAGTTTCATAAACTTGTATGATAACACGTTTCATAATTTTAAATGACAATTAGTTGCACAATCTTGCATAATAATAAAGTTTATAATCTTGTATGATACCAAGTTTCATAATCTTCCACAGCAACAAGTTACAGTCTGAGCTCCACACCCTATCAGTAAATACAGAATTAGTGTGTGTGCGTTTACGTGCATGTGTGTGTGTGTGTGAGTGTGCATATGTGAGCATGCCTACTCGCGCCTCCACCCTCAGGCAACATACCTCTACTCACCCTACAGAGACGAAGGAACGGAAGAACTCCACGAAAGCTTCATCGTAGAAACAGCTGAGGATGTTTTTCCTGACGCAGACGTGCCCTCCTTCAGGTCCTCCGTGCTGTCTGTCCTCGACTCCTGCAGGGTCCTCTCTTCAAGGTTATTGACGGCTCTAGCCATCAGTCTCGGTACGAAATACCTTCGATCACAGTCAAAATAATCACCCCATTAACGGTGGATATCTAGATGTGTATAATGATCTATATCACTTGAACTACACAGTGGGTACTGGAAAAGGTTATTCCCCAGTTAACAGTTGTTATATGGTACTTTCCACTTGTCATATCCAGGCAAGGATCCGGACTACTTCCAGTTGCTGCACCAGGGTATGGGCACGAGAGACAGCCCCTCCTGCTTGCGCATCAACTACTACCCACCACTGCCCAGAAACTTAACTGAGGAAACTACCCGTTTTGTTGCCCATGTGGACTTCAGTACCATCACCTTGCTCTTCCAAGCCGACACAGGCGGATTGCAGGTCAGTTTATGTTTTTATGGATGTTATGTGTAATTATGTGTTATGTGTAATTATGTGTTATGTGTAATTATGTGTTATCTCACCTACCTCCCTCCTGCCCCCCCCCCTACACGTAAACTCACCACACTTAATTCTCTGGTGGGCGTATGTGGGCCGGCCAGGTGCGTGGACGTGGGACGGCGTGGGTGGACGCCCATCCGGTCCCAAGCGCAGTCCTTCTCTTGGCTGGAGAGTTCCTCAAGTCCTACTCTGACGACAAGTTCATCGCTCCTGCAAGTACTGGTGGCTTGTGAACTTGTGTGTTGCTGTTACTTGTGTGTGTTCATTTTATATGTAGCGGACTTTGCTGCCTCCATTTCTGCAGCACACTGCGCTATGCCTGTTTCATTAGCACGCTTGTTTGCCCTTATTTAATGATTCGCACTCTACTACCCTTCCTTACTTAGCTCACTTTACTTCCCATATCTAACCCCTATTCCTAGAGCATTCTTTACTACCCATATTCCTATGCATACTTTACTACCCCCTATTCCTCTGGCATTCTTTACTACCCATATTCCTATGCATACTTTACTACCCCTGTCAATATGTTGACCAAACCACACACTAGAAAGTGAAGGGGCGGACCAAAACGTCGTCGTCCCTTCACTTTCTAGTGTGTGGTTTGGTCAACATATTTCTGCCACGTTATTGTGACTCCTCGTCTGCACCCCTGTTGATACTTCCGCTTTGTTTCGTGTTGGCAGGAACACCAGGTGGTCATCCCGACCGAGGAGCACGGACGGAGGTCTTCCCGAACCTCGGTCGGATATTTCGCCCACGCGGACAACCACGTCCCTATGAAGCCAGCAGGTTCCTCCAGCCCCAGCCGGAGCGATCCGTCCCTCACCGTTCAAGAGTATTTCAACGGGTTTGTCCACAAGAGGCTACAGATATAATGAGACGATCAGTGTCGTCGCCTCCTCCTTACCTTCCTCGTGGCGTCCAGTGCTGCTTGTCACGGATTGTTGGCAACATTCGTTAGAACCCGTGCTTTCGAACGGGTAGTAACGTTTATATTGTAACGAAAGCATGAATTCGAACATTCGTGCTTTAGTTACAATATGAACGGGGAAGGGGGAGGTTATTGATGTTATTAGTGTCATCAATAGAATGATTGAATGCTACTTTCCTCGTTTGTATCATTTCCCTTTTTCTCGAATTCTATCCCTTGTACGCCTTACCCCAATACCCTTTCTTTACCAAATATATATTTTAACTAACACTTGATCCAACAACGCCTTCCATGTTAGAAATTATATCACCGCTCTCCTCGTGTCACTTGAACCAGCGTGAAGATAACATACTTTGCAGCCTCTCGTACTCGATAAACATAGTGAGGGTTCGAAAAAATAATTTGATTTATCTACTCTTTCCCGTAGGTAGAGGAATACAAATCCAAAGAGCAACATATCTGTTGATAGTTGTAGCTGACCTGCAGAGGACTAGCTAGAGCTTGTGAAGGGTCGAATGATAGAAGAGCGAGGGGAAGGAATACGAGTGAAGTAAATGACAATATTTAATTGTTTAAGACTTAATTAAGAAGTGGAGTAGCAGGGTCAAATTAATCATGATTGCGATTGATGGTGTTTGACAACTGCAGGTTCTGTTCACTCAGTATTTTTATGTTCATAAATCCATTTTTCAAGTTTTTGGTGTTTCATCTATTGTATACTTTGTTGCTGTTATAATTATCTTAAGTATTGTACAATTCCTACTATATTTTAAGTATTGTACAACCAGCATGTTTAAATGTAACTATGATTTTTTAGAGACAATTGATAAAAGACAGCTTCTATAATTTCCACGTGTCTGCAAGATGCAAGAATATACTATTTAATCACCAATATTTTTATTTCACAACCCAATATATATGTGTGTGTATATATATATATATATATATATATATATATATATATATATATATATATATATATATATATATATATATATATATATATATATATATTAAACAGGAACAGATCTATCAACTTCGTTAGCAAGCAGAGTTTATAGTGTTAAGGGTATCAAGAAATTATTTGAACTCTACGGAAGGGAATCGTGTCATACTGCTTAGGCAGATTTTTTTATGCTCATATGTATATTTAATATTTACATGTAAGTCCATACAATTCGTTCACATGCCCAATTGTCAAAATGAGAACTGACATAATTATTAAGTAAAACAAGAAATGGAGAACTAAAACAAAATCCCATGGAATTCTATTATTCTCTTCTCCGAGGCTCGGGACTTTGTGGGTTTATGGGCCTTATATGCTACGTTAGGCCAAAAAAATTTAATTCAGGTCTGAAAGGACAGTGGGGGGGGGGGGAGGTTGGCATGCACTGAGGCCTCCAGGAACACTAAACCCCATAGAATACGGGAACTTGCATGACCCAGGGAAAAATGACATGAACAGTACTCTTAGAACAACAATGTTATGTACTCTCAACACAATGTATCTTCTTGTATATAAATAAAATTAAATAGTATTCTCTCGACAAAATTTTGGCTGCAGCTCTGCGAAGTCTTCTTGAGTGCGGTGTATGTTAATAAACATTTTGAGTGTGTGTAGTGTACGCATGTGAGGAAACTGGTCCTTGAGCTGTGAAGTGTATGAGGGGACCATGCTTGTTGACTCTGATAAGTGTATGTTGGTAAACCCCTTACGACAAGTAAAGCCAAACAATTACATTAGTAACTCTATGCTTAGTGCATTTTCTGTAAAGACCTTCACAGAAAATGTTTCCTATAGCCATGATTTCAGGAGTGGCTCAATCGTTTTTAATACATTACTATACCTGAAAGAGAGAATAATAATAAAAATTCTTTGTGTCGGGGGACAGGCAGCAAATGTTTATATATATACATGTTAGGCTTATACAGAGGTCCCACCAAGGTCGAATTTCCAGGATACAACTCCATAACAAGCTGGCTAACAGCTAGGTTACCTGGGGCATTAGATGATAGGAAACGCGCCCAATCATTCCTGTCCCGCCCAGAATTCGAATTCGAAATTCCCGATTGTGAGTCGAAAACGAACCCGACTGTTTTACCAGTCTGTCAGTTTGTCTGTCCAAAGCTGCAGGCCAGATGCTTATGGTTAAAGCCTCACTAAAACTTGCAGGGAGAATGGTCTGGGGTAAGGAACGGACATAGGCTGGTCGATGTAGACCTAAGTTAAATTATTTAAGGAATATTAGCAGTTGTAGGCACCCCCCATGCACCCGATTTTATTGTGAAATATTTGGTGTTTCCACAATAGTGAAATCTATGGGTTACTGAGCAGTACCCGTGTGAGTAGAGGGATGTTAGTTTATACTTATATGCAATATTGAAAATGAAAATAAACCTCCCACTTCCCCACTGTGTGTGGAACAAGACTAGTAACTGTGTGACTCACCGTAGATGTAGAGTGCCTTGTATAGTGACTGTTGTGAGCCTCTTGTTGAATTACTTGTGATACAGAAGATTATCGATGTACTCACCTATTTGTACTCATCTATTTGTGCTTGCGGGGGTTGAGCTCTGGCTCTTTGGTCCCGCCTCTCAACTGTCTTATCAACTGGTGTACAGGTTCCTGAGCCTATTGGGCTCTATCATATCTACACTTGGAACTGTGTATGGAGTCAGCCTCCACTACATCACTGCCTAATGCGATGTGTACGTGTATTTGTGTAAATGATTGTATATGTATGCACATATATATATAACATTAACAATCGTGTAACTAGCTTCAAAAGATTGTCACTTGCTTAGCTAAACGAACTATGGGGTTGAGTTACTGAACCCATTATGTGCCTCTGTAACCCGTTCCACCACCGCCCACGGGATGGGAATGAGGTGTATAATAAACAAAGAAATTTAAAAATTCGCCACTTACAATACATGTACGTTAATTAAAGATGGAAATACAAAACAAATGCAAATTAAAAAGATACACCTCAAACGTGAGAGGAAACAGTGATGTGTCTTTATAAAAGAACATATCAAAGAGGGAGAAAATTGAACGCAAAGCTAAAAAAATAAAACTAAGTCAACTCTCATACCAGGAACGGTTGAGGGCCACAAGACTAACAACACTGCAAACCAGACATGACAGGGCTGATCTCATCGAACCATTCAAAATACTAAACAATTTTGAAGGTATCACTTTATGCCACTTCTTTCAAAATTCAAATATAACTTACACAAGGAGCAACAGCTTCAGGCAATACAAGCCACAATGTAGGATAGGATACAAGAGATGCCTTTTAACTCACTGAGTTATAAACCCATGGAACCGCCTACCCGCCGACACCCTAAATGCCAATACATTATTGTAAAACTCATTTAGACAAAAATATCTGGAATATTCCCCTCCCCCCCCCCTCCCTTGATTGTCGATTGGTTATTGTTCGTTTTCCATTGTTCATTGTTTTGAAGCTTCATCTTGGATGTACTGAGAACTTTGTAACATGTAATAATTTTATATTTTAGAAACAAGAGAGTGATTACTTTCACTGTGATTATCGTTGTTCAATAGATCTGTTTAAAAGGAAAACGTCTATTTCTCTGGTGTGGGATACTTATGTATACTTTCACTTTTGGGTTATTTGTAGCATATACTCACTTGTGTGGAAAACGTATGATGAAAATGATGAAATGTATACGTATGATATCTCACATGTGAGATACTGCAGTGTACACTCTCCAGTGTGGGATACTTGTGGTGTATTCTTTCATGTGGGATAATTTTGCCGTATACTCCTGTGTGAAATTCTTGTCGTATATGATCTCTCTCGTTTGGGAGTGTCGTGGAGCATACTCGTGAGGAAGTGTCGCTTAGTATACTTACCTCACCCAGTGCAAACTCTTGGTAACAGGTCCTCGGTCTAATCGTACACGAGGGGTTTCACACACTATCCGTCTTCTAGTTATTAAAATTATATCCTTAATTTTGGCTGGGGTAACTTAGGTTAGGTTAGTTTTGGTTGTTGTTGTTATAGATCAGCTTCTCTGAACAAGTTCCAAGTAGCACGGGCTATGGTGAGCCCGTAACTTACCTGGCACAGGAGCGGGGCAAGTAGCACGGGCTATGGTGAGCCCGTAACTTACCTAGCACAGGAGCGGGGCAAGTAGCACGGGCTATGGTGAGCCCGTAACTTACCTGGCACAGGAGCGGGGCAAGTAGCACGGGCTATGGTGAGCCCGTAACTTACCTAGCACAGGAGCGGGGCAAGTAGCACGGGCTATGGTGAGCCCGTAGTGGACTTACCTGGCACAGGAGAGGTGCTGTCTAATTTTGGTGCTCAGTTATTGAATTAACCTCCATAAATAACTCAAGAGCACAAACTTTCAATCTCAGTGAAACCATTTGATCGCAAGACGCAACCCACATGAAAATGATGGATTGCCATCATTAGGACTTTTGACTTAAGGAACAAGTGAAGTGAGAATGTGATAGAGGTCAAAACCAGTAGTATTTTCAAAGCGTTATACGACAAAGAGTAATGGGAAGACGGGACACCACGAGCTAGGACTTAACTCCTAATCAAATGATAACGCTTCGATTGACCATTTTTAAATTCTCATAAACCTCGAGGTTAAAAAAAATCAGGACTGGCAAAGCTTACTTAATCCCCATCTCATTCTTTTATCTTAAGATATAAATGTCTGCTAAAAGAAATTTAGGTGTTGACCCAGACATCGAAGAGCTTGAACTTCGACCCTTGTCGGCGACCAATACAACGCTGTGCATACCTTTACCTTGTTGCTACCTCGGGGTCGTGTATGGGTCTCAGGCAGGCTCTCTTGTGTCAAGATGCTGTTGCGAATGGAATGAGAATGCTTAGGCACGTTGTTGCAACTTGTAACAGTGACTCAATGCAATGATATATAGTTAAGACGAACTAAAGTGTCTTTCTGTTTAGACTGTGTGTGTGTGTGTGTGTGTGTAATTACCTAAGTGTAGTTACAGGATGAGAGCTACACTCGTGGTGTCCCCTGTTCCCAGTACTCTTTGTCGTATAGTGCTTTGAAACCACTGCCGGTTTTGGCCTCCACCACATTCGCACTTCACTTGTTCCAACCGTCTCCCACTCTGTTTGTAAAAGAGAACTTTCTAATATTTTGTCAGCACCTGTCTTTCTATAACTCAAATCTATGTTCCTTTACCCTCCTGAGTAAATAATATTACAAATATATGTTTTATACCTAATAATAATAATAATAATAATAATAATAATAATAATAATAATAATAATAATAAATAAAGTTACTAATAATAAAGTAACCTCGTTACTTTACTGTGAGTAAACCAGTAGCTGCTAACGAAGCTGGAACGAAAACTTAAGTTCACTCTCTCTTATCAATTATTATCCTAGAACACTCTTAACCATCGTGTCTCATCGTAGTTTAAGTCTTCTAATTTTATTACCCAAAAATGTATTATGTAAATCCACTCTTGATATCTAATGCCTTTAAAAATATTCAAAATCTGAAAAAAGAATGCTAATGTATCACTGATATAACTAAAAAAAATTATTACTAATATGATTATGTTTGTTATTGTAGTTATTGTTATTATTATTATTGAGAAAATCAGTAGGAGCCTTGAGGAGGATTCGAACCTGGGTTCGGATTTGAACCAAGCATACGTACTAGAACACTATACCACGACATGGTTAAAAGAATTGTAGCCTGGGATTTAACTAACTCCTCTAGGGTTTCTGAAACTTCCACTGAAGCCTAATAAGGGGTTACACACACTTCCCCCATGTTCTCTGGTTTTGTAGTTAGGAATACCTCCAACGCTTCTTTTCGAATGCACAAAATAATCACATTAACGTGATGGTGAATGAGAAAATCTGTAAATACAGAAATACAAGCACATGAATGCAGGAAATAAGGCGTTTGCGTATGGCAACATAAGTATTCGCCTGTTGATACTAGTTTTGGAGTACCCTGGTGTTCCCTTTAGCCCATTGGAGTTTTCTTTAGTTCTTTGGAGATTCCTGGAGCCAGATTCACGAAAGCACTTACGCAAGCAGTTACGAACCTGTACATCTTTTCTCAATCTTTGGCGTCTTTGTTTCCAATTATTAAACAGTTAATGAGCTCCGAAGCACAAGGAGGTTGTTTATAACAATAACAACAGTTGATTGGGAAGTTTTCATGCTTATAAACTGTTTAATAATTGGAAACAAAGCTATCAAAGATTGAGAAAAGATTTACATGTTCGTAAGTGCTTTCGTGAATCTGGCCCCTGGAGTTCATTCATGTCCACTGTAGTCCCTCGAAAGTTCCCTAGAGTCCCACTGAGTTCCCTGGAGTCGGTACCTTGAGGTTCTCTATCCCTCAGCAACAGTAACCTTAGATTGGTTGGACTTGCTGAACAGATTTTTGCGTCATCAGCTGCACCTGCGTCACAAACACCTACTGATCATGACTGAACTTTCTCCGTGCGTGGTGCTGAAAGGTTTTATATTGCTTTTTTTTTTTGCTATGCGCTCTGTGCTTAGGTAACGGTGTGGGATGTATTTACTATTTGTATTTAAAATTTGTGCCTATTGGATCGAGCTTTAGCTCCTGGATCTCGTCTTTCTAGCCTCCGATCGTGTATTCAATGAAATGACGCCTGTACTTTTAAAATTATGAATGTATTTTGTATGTTTTAATCTGCTTCTTTAGTTCATTCATTTTTCCACTACTCTTACAGTAAAAGAATACTTTGTAGCATCTATATCTCTCGCCTGCGCTCAAGAGAATACAGATTTAGGCATTTTAGTCGGTCCCAATAGTTTGCAAAATGGTAACCGTAAGGTATGGCACTTTCTTGTGCCGTGGGAGATTAACCCCTTCAACATAACAATTCCATCTTTCCCAGCCAAGAAGTCAACTAAAAATCAGGTCAAGCTTCGTCTAGAGGCAAAGTAGCAACTCCTTAAGCCAGATGGATTAGTAACAGAACACTCCCTCTCTAAAACCTTGTACACTTGTGGTTTTCTACACCAACACAGCAGTGCTGTTCGAAGTGCAATTGTGACAATAAGTGATTGTTCGTGTTTTGAGTGAAGAATCCACGTAAACAAGAGAGGCCTCTGCATTTAAGACCATATTCCTAGCACTTAAATGTAAGTGTGTCTTTATCATCACTTGCACTCAACTCTTTAAGACACAACTGTAACACACTTAGGGCTGAAGCGAGACACAGATACACCTAAATTATTAATGAATGTAACAGAGTCCATTGTATGTGGAATCTATCTCATGTTGGTCTGCGAATGCGTGATAGAGTTGTTCAATTAGCCAAAGAATATATCTTGAGAACAGGAGTTGACATTGATCTTCGCTTTCCTATGGCAAGCCTAAGATCAACCACGGTCTAGTTGTGTGGATCACACAACCTACCATCACCAGAGAAATCTTAACAAGCAACACAGAAATTATCGACAGGTACAACGACAACAGGAGACTCGACATCAGCGAGGCCCTATACATCCAAAAGTCAAAACCAGCAATCAACAGCCAAATAACATATAATGACATTCTACCCACTTCAAGACCCTGAACCAACACAGAAGCAAGAACATAGAACACGTAGTGCTTATAATAATCATTTGTTCATTTAACACGCAGTGGCTTATAATACCCATTGTGCCATTGATCCACTTGTTCATCTCATTCATGTCCTGTATCACCTCACCCCAAGCGAATATAAGCATTGGCAGAGTATGGAAAATTTTTACGGGCTCACCATAGCCCGTGCTACATGGACACTTCGTTCTGAGTAGCTAAATCTGAAACAACAACAACATATGGAAAATTCGTTTACGAGCTATTCATGCCCGTGCCACCTCTTGGGTGGCTTAATCTTTATCAGTCGGAAAATTCGTAAGTTGCAGCCCCGCTCCTGTGCCAGGTAAGTTCACTACGGGCTCACCATAGCCCGTGCTGCTCTGAACTTACGTTTCTAACAGCTGAATCTAAAACAACAACAACATGTGGAAAATTTGTCTTTGAAAGTGTAAGGAGTGCCTTGCGAAATGCTTCCCTAGGGGTCAGACCATAAATATAGTGTGAAAATGAACTTTGGAGAGCTAATTTTTCAATTCGCATCGACAGTGAAAAAAAATATAAGAAATATTGAGAAGATTCGTGTTAGAATCATTAATCTTTCCTTTTCGGTCATATTCAACAATATATATATATATATATATATATATATATATATATATATATATATATATATATATATATATATATATATATATATATATATATATATATATATATATATATATATGACCGAAAGGGTAAGATTAATAATTCCAACACGAATCTTCTCAATATTTCTTACGTTCCTCTTCACTGTCGAGGGTAATTGATAAAGTAACTCTCCAAATTACCCTCACTTCCCTACCAATTACCCTCGACAGTGAAGAGGAACTTAAAATCATTTAATAATTCATAAAAATTCATTGTGTCGGGAGTAAAGCAGTCCCAATTACAGTATTCAGTTTATACATACAATACATGTTGACCAGACCACACACTAGAAGGTGAAGGCACGACGACGTTTCGGTCATCCTGGACCATTCTCAAGTCGACTTGAGAATGGTCCAGGACGGACCGAAACGTCGTCGTCCCTTCACCTTCACCTTCTAGTGTGTGGTCTGATCAACATACTTTAGCCACGTTATTGTGACATCGCCTGCACATACAATGCATGTTAGGCTTGTATCGAGCCCCCCCCCTATCCCCAGGGTCGAATTACTGACCCCACCCCAGGATGCAACTCCACAACTAGTTGACTAACTCCTGAGTACCTATTTACTGCTAGGTGAACAGGTGCATTAGGTGATAGGAAACGCGCCCAACCATTTCTGTCCCGCTATCCCTGATTGTGGGTCTAGAACGCACCCGACTGTACCAACGGGACACAAAATATATAACTAATTTGTTTATTTACAAAATATATAACTAATTCGGCACAAATGCCAAAAGCTTAGACGAAGCAGCTTTACCCTCAGCTCAGGATTATCCCTTCAAATACAAAAAAATCGATTCCAAGCAGCGGTTGCTAATTGTCGATGTTGTTAAACAAAAAATCCTCGTCACGGCCCTTGTGGATTTGTTCATTTGTTAAACAAAAGGTTATAATTAAGAAGAGAAAGCGCTAAGCCTGTATCACTATATAGCACCTTGAAGGGATATTAGGACAAGAAATAGGGATACAAAGAAAAAGAACAGATATAAGGCTGAAGAATGGGATATGACGTCAAGGAATTGGGATATGAGTGTTTTTTAAGCCAGGGCAGTGAGAGGGTGAGGGAGGAAGGGGGGCTTAGACTGGGAGGGAAAAGGGGGGGTTGGGAGGGAGAGGTCACTTAAAGCACGTTCGTCTGTTGAGTGACCCCGACCATGCCCCCATCACGTGATCTCTAGCCTTGCTCCTGAGCCCGCTGCCTGGAGGAACCTCATTGCTGGTGGCGGCGGTGCTGGAGGGGTGCAAGAAGCAGCTCCTTGCTAGCGGAGGAGGAGAGAGAAGCCCCCCTGGCGGTACTCCACGCTCCGGTATGTTCTGCTGACGTGATCTCAGGTGCCTGTGAACGCTCCGACCTGGCGCTGCTTGGCAACTCTCACACTTAATCCTGAACGCAAGGGTTCGTTGTTTAACGTTTTTATGATGATTTCCATACTTCATTCACCCTTAATTTTGCATTACAAAGCGTTGTTCGGAATAAGGCATACGTGAGGGGTATTTTCCAAGGGAAATGTAGAGTCAGGTTGAGAGAATGTTTAGTGCAGAGTGCTTTCCCAGGCTACGTGACGCCAGACAGGTACTCCAGGAGGAGGCATCCCCCCACCCCATCCTACTATAGGTCCAAGGCTATGAGGGGCTAGACAGTTTTCGTTGGGTAGGTGAGCTAAAGAGGTGTAGGGGGTAGTATTCATGGGGAGAGGGCGGTGGGGAGGAGAGGGATACTGAGAAGGTCGTCTATGAGAGATAGAATTGGGGGGAAGGGGGTGATTAAGGGATTTAGACGGGGTTGGCGGGCTAGTGATGGCTGCCGGACACCCCCCCCCCCCTAGGGTCCGACACAACCACCTTCCATTCCTAGTTCAGCTGTGAGAGAGAGAGCAACACCACTCGCCCGCCTGCCCTACAAACAGTCGACACTAGCCCGAGAGTTACATGTTGGTTCGTGAAGGACTTTGTCCAGTGCTCTGCCCCACAGTGTCCAGGAGCCGGCCCCCACACCACACCCTGCACACAGCCATCCACCACAGTCCGTTCTGCCCTCTCTACCCCGGTAAGAACACTCAGTCTTCCTCAGCTGGTTAGTCGGCTCTTGCAGTTTGGGAATCTTAATTTGCCACAGAAATGCAAATTATAGTATTCTGTTTTATTAAAAAACTTGTAGCTATTTTTTATTTCTTAATTTTAGATACGAAATATTCATTTCATAACTGATTTTTTTTTAAATATTAATATACATAAATTACCTTTATTTACACAATTCAAATATCTTATGCACATATTTAAAATATTTTTATTTACATCATTAAACTTTCTTAAATATTAATTTATATAATAAAACTATAATAAAGGCACTTGACCATATTCTGGTTCTTAAATGTATACAGAGCATTTAATTCTGCATCGTTACTGTCTGTATTGACTGTCCGTGACCAGTAGTTAGTTCATTAATCATCATTAGTTAATTAGTTCACCCACACTCACCTCGGCCATAGCCATCCTGAGGAAAAGGTTTCACGACCACGTAATGGATTTAGGAACTGAACCATGCCTATCCAATTTTGTTTTTTGTTTTAAAGCAAGTTGCAGAATTGATGAGCTAGTTAAGATGTTCAGCGACTAAGTATAGTCAGTGTTGCTATTACTGTTAAGTTACTAATGTTAAATAAATAAAATAAAATGTTTATTCAGGTAAGGTACATACATACAAGAGATTTTACATAAATTGATAGATTTATAGATAGAGCTAGTACATACAATGCCTAAAGCTACTATTACGCAAAGCGTTTCGGGCAGAAACGTAACAAAGGTAACTTATGTTGGAAGAATGTGACCTTCTGGGCTTGTTGTTTAAGATTCAGCTACTCGGAACAAAAGTTCCAAGTAGCACGGGCTATGGTGAGCCCGTAGTGGACTTACCTGGTACAGGAGCGGGGCTGTAACTGACCTTCTGGGCGGGGTCAGCAGTATTCATAGCCGAGGTCACACGAGTTTTTTGTTTGTGTCTATAAATAGCTTGTTAAAGGTCCCATATTTAGGGAGGTCTGGAGCTGGGTGGTTTGGTTAAAGTTCAAGTTCAGTTACAGTTTTAAGGGTCCTTATGGGGCCTCGTAGCCTGGTGGATAGCGCGCAGGACTCGTAATTCTGTGGCGCGGGTTCGATTCCCGCACGAGGCAGAAACAAATGGGCAAAGTTTCTTTCACCCTGAATGCCCCTGTTACCTAGCAGTAAATAGGTACCTGGGAGTTAGTCAGCTGTCACGGGCTGCTTCCTGGGGGTGGAGGCCTGGTCGAGGACCGGGCCGCGGGGACACTAAAGCCCCGAAATCATCTCAAGATAACCTCAAGATAACCTGTCCCATATCTATCCTGTGGGTGAGGGGCAGAGAGGTTATTCAAGCAAGAGGTTCGATGCTGGATCCAAATGTTCGTTAAGATTAGCAATTTACATTTGTGATGAACTAGTAACATGCAAGTTTAATTTGCTAGACGAGTAGCACAGTGGTCTGCGTGCTCGAATCTCGACCGAGAATCCAGGGTTCGAATTAGCATACCAGAAATATCCTAGGGGAAGGTCAGTAGCCTACCCAAGGGTGGGAGGTAAGACCTGGATAAACATAAGTGCAGCCTTCCTGTCCCCTGATAACAGGAATTATGAGGCATTTTGAAACGTTAATGTAAACATTCGCTTGTTAAACATGACTGACTTTAAAGCCTAGTAACACAAATATGTTTATGTGTACTCTCACAATAGTGTCTATGTTGTCAGTGTTTCACACTTGTAATTGTTTGCTTGGTCGTACAAGTCTTCAAAGTTATATCCATCGAAAGTAAATTATTGTAAAAAAATACTAATTATTTTAATATTACAATTATAATTATTTGTATAATTATTATTCTCATTATTATTATTTTATTATTATTATCTTTGTTACATATTTCGTGAGATATAAAGTGTTTGGAAAATAATATAGGGCCATTAATAACATAAGAACAAAGGTAACTGCAGAAGGCCTATTGGCCCATACGAGGCAGCTCCTATCTACAACCAGCCAATTAATGTTAACTAAATTACTGAGGTAGAAAGAACTGAGGAAGGAAGTAGAGGAAATCCTGAGACTTCTCTCTCTGTTATTCTCTCCCTATTCTCTCTCTGTCTATCTCTCTCTCTCTCTCTCCTTCTCTCTCTCTCTCTCTCTCTCTCTCTCTCTCTCTCTCTCTCTCTCTCTCTCTCTCTCTCTCTCTCTCTCTCTCTCTCTCTCTCTCTCTCTCTCTCTCTCTCTCTCTCTCTCTCATTTAAACTTTAAATGTTACACTCACAAGACAAGGGGTGGAAAGACAATCGAGGGAGGAACTTAAGTGTCTTAACGTGGCTGGTGAGTGATATAAGGTCATTGGGTCTGCCCTATTGTAGCACGGGGTTGCTATGCGGGAGATGAGGATGCTGGCGGTCGATGGTGGTGGTGATGCTCATTTTTTTTTTTTTTTTTTGCGATATATACAAGAGTTGTTACATTCTTGTACAGCCACTAGTACGCGTAGAGTTTCGGGCAAGTCCCTGGAATACGATCCCCGCCGCGAAGAATCGTTTAATTGTGGTAGTTATTGGTAGTGTAGATATAAACAACTCATGTTGGTAGTTATTGGGAGTGTTGATATAAACTGGTAAGAACATAAGATTGAAGGCAACTACAGAAGGCCTATTGGCCTATACCAGTCAGCTCCTATTTATATTCACCCAGACTCATTCATATACATGTCTAACCTAAGCTTGAAACAATCAAGTGATCATCCTACTTCTATTGTGTTACGGGGTAACTCACATGGCATACTGTGAGATCTCCTATTGTTTATGCTGCCCCTGTCATTTATTGTGTTGGCAAAGGTAGACTAAGCAAATTGTAGATGGTACAAAATAATCTATGAGAATAATCCCAAGATTATTCTCATTGCCCAAAAAAGACTATTACCTTGAGGTTACCTTGAGGTGCTTCCGGGGGCTTAGCGTCCCCGCGGCCCGGTCGTCGACCAGGCCTCCTGGTTGCCGGACTGATCAACCAGGCTGTTGGACGCGGCTGCTCACAGCCTGGTTGATCAGGTATCCTTTGGAGGTGCTTATCCAGTTCTCTCTTGAACACTGTGAGGGGTCGGCCAGTTATGCCCCTTATGTGTAGTGGAAGCGTGTATTACTGTATTACTATTACTGAGATAATGATATTATGATTGAACTTACAGAGTATTGGGGATAGAATTGCAGAGATAAATGAAGCTTTGGCGATTAGATTAATGAGAGGTGAGGTGACACTGCCATCATTAGTGCATAGTTTATGAGATTTCCATCTGTGATGCGCCATCTTCCTTACTTCTCTCTCAGTGTCTCCCATATTCACCAAATTCGTACGGGCTCACCATAGCCCGTGCTACATGGACACTTCGTTCTGAGTAGCTAGATCTAAGACAACAACAATCACCAAACTCCTTGGCCAAATGAACGGTCCACTCCACCTGCTGATGAAAAGTTAGTTGACATGTCGAGGGGAAATAACAGCCGCGTCCGTGCATTAATCCGTGCCTCTTGCTGTATGTGGTCCTTCCGGGGAGATTTTCCTGCCGAGTTTAAAACTTTGTAACCCAAGTCCCGTCTGTCGTTGATCACTACACTTCTTCGGTCGCTCATCACTGTCAGTAATCACTTAACTCTCTGCGCACAGTTTTCCGTTTTTGTCTCCTGGTCATTGCTACCTGAAAAGGCCTGGTAGCGTCTTGTCTATCATGCGTCAAAGTCACTGGATCACAAGTTCACAACTTTCTAGGGCGCTCCAAGACGCACCCTTCCTCCACCACGACTGGACAATCACTGTCAAACTTCCTATTGAGAGAGAGAGAAGATTAAGCCACCCAAAAGGTGGCTTGGGCATGAATAGCCCATAAGTGGTGGCCCTTTTGAGCCATTACCAGTATCAATAGATGATACTGGAGATCTGTGGAGGTGCGGCTGCACCCTGCGTGACGGGAGATGTCTCCCGTGAACTTCCTATTGATTGATGAAGATTAAGCCACCCAAGAGGTGGCACGGGCATGAATAGCCCGTAAGTGTGCATGGCTTCTCCATTACGACCAAATATGGTTGACGGAGCTCTGCAGCATCAAGTACCTTAGGAGCCCATCGTCTCAGTTCCTTCAGTCTTTCACTTATTGTGAGAAATTTTCACTCATTTTTCACTCATGGTCTGTTTCCTGTACTCATAGAATCTTACACTTGACAGTTTATTCAAACCCATCCCCCCTAATATGATATACTTATATAAAATACTCGGTCGAACCAATATATACTACTGGAACCTTCTCCCCTCCCCCCCAAAAAAAAAGGTTTTGTGATCTTAAAGTTATGAAGTCAGAGAAAAAGCCCAACCACTTGGGGTGGACGGTAGAGCAACGGTCTCCCGTCATGCAGGCCGAGGTTCAATCCCCGACCGTCCAAGTGGTTGGGCACCCTTCCATTCCCCCCGTCCCATCCCAAATCCTTATCCTGATTATTGTCGTTATTTTATTGTCCTCTCACAGACATGCAGTCATAATAATAATAATAATAATATTTTATTTATAAAAGTATATACATTTGGTACACGAAACAGGAGGAACTTGTAGGTAAGAAACGTACATTACATATAGTCACTAATACGCATATATATATATATATATATATATATATATATATATATATATATATATATATATATATATATATATATGCAACAATGATCACAAAAACACTGATCCAAGTATGCAGAATAACCACATATGAAAAATAGAAAATGCTTAACGCGTTTTCGGCTAATTCGCCTTCATCTTCTACTTTGCTCTGATGAAGGCGAATTAGCCGAAAACGCGTTAAGCATTTTCTATTTTTCATATGTGGTTATTCTGCATATATATATATATATATATATATATATATATATATATATATATATATATATATATATATATATATTTATTTATTTATTTATTTATTGGATATTCTCAATAACCAATAAACTTTAGAAAATTAGAAACGTAGTTTTCAATTATACCTTCCGGCATACACATTGTTAGGATCGATGTGTCTGAAGGTGATTTACATAGATTCTGAAGAAACGAAGTCATGAAATGAGATTTGCAGCGGGATATAATTAGTATTGCATAACACAAGCATGTACAGCTGGTTTGGTGAGTTGACAGCCGGTTCTGGAGCGGTGTTCCCGTGCTTGTGGCGTGGCCCGATCCGCCAGGCATCATCTGATTGGTCCTTCTTTCAATGACGTCAGATGTTGTTTAGGCTCGTCACTCACAATCTTCTGATTGGTCGAACTGCAGATGACGTCTGACGTTGGTAATTCATCTTATTGTGATTAGTTCTTCTGTGGAAGCTGTCGCAACATGTGAACCTTATTTTTACCTACTTTGAGGTGCTTCCGGGGCTTAGCGTCCCCGCGGCCCGGTCGTCGACCAGGCCTCCTGGTTGCCGGACTGATCAACCAGGCTGTTGGACGCGGCTGCTCGCAGCCTGACGTATGAGTCACAGCCTGGTTGATCAGGTATCCTTTGTGGAGGTGAAGCACAATTTTTCTGATTGTTTTTGTTTGATGAGTGACGTCAGGAGTGGTTGTAGTCTACCCACACACCTTCTCGTCGGTCCTTATAGGATTGACAATTGATTGATTGATAAAGATTAAGCCACCCAAGAGGTGGCACGGATGTATAGCCCAGGCTGTGACTCATACGTCAGGCTGCGAGCAGCCGCGTCCAACAGCCTGGTTGATCAGTCCGACAACCAGGAGGCCTGGTCGACGACCGGGCCGCGGAGACGCTAAGCCCCGGAAGCACCTCAAGGTAACCCACAAGTAGAATGACGTCAACTCTTCTCAATGATGCACAGTAAATCATCATATTTATTTTGTTCTGAATTAGAAAGCTGATTGGTCTATATTTCAGGTCATATCAGACGCCAATTGGCCCTTTATCGTCAGAGGTCAGATACAAAAAAAAATCCATTCTTAAGTAGAATTGAAGGGGAACGTCAGAATGTTTTTTTCCATCGTGATCCTCTGTTCTTATTGGTTGAACTTGTGTCGTTGGCTGAACATAGTTGTGTCGTTAGCTGTATGTGATGAAAAATATTTTTGATAATTCGTTGTAACAATAATATGTAGTATGCCTCGGGAAAATTAACCATCGGAATAACTAAGTTAATGTTACGGAAATTATGCCTTCCGTATGCTGACACAATTGTTAGTGTGTCTGTCTATCTTCCCCTCCCTTCTCTCCCCTCCCTACCCTTCACCCCCTTCTTCCACCCTTCACCTTGCAAGCAGTTAGCAGCATATACCAGCATATATTTATCACATTACCACTTAAATCTTAATTACGGGCTATTCATGCCCGTGCCACCTCTTAGGTGGCTTAATCCTTATAAATCTTAAATCTTAACCCCCGCCGTTGTCATGCCCTCGATCTCAAATCCCCTCATTCCCCATCCCTCTCCCCCCTCCCCAACTCTATCCCTTTACCCCAACACAGCATCTCTCCCACACCCCTTCCGTACATCTATCCCTTTCCATTCCTATTGAGAGAGGGAACAGGAATGGCAGGAAGAAGTAAATATAAAACGCAGACAACAGCAACTTAACCTCTCCTAGGCCTACAGGCCCCCCACACAGGCAGCTCCCTCCCCCACACAGGCACCCCCACACAGGCAGCTCCCTCCCCCCACACAGGCAGCTCCCCACCCCCACACAGGCAGCTTCCCCCCCCACACAGGCAGCTTCCTCCCCCCACACAGGCAGCCCCCCACCCCCACACAGGCAGCTCCCCCCACAGTTGACTGTCACAGCGTGCAACTGACCCTCCTGCCCCACCCCAGGCAGCATCATGGCCTCCATCCCGCAGACGCTGCAGCTGACCAAGACCCAGCACCGCCAGCAGCGCAGAGGGCGTCTCAACCCCGAACAAGGCTCCTACTTCCAGAACGCAGGTGAGGCTAGGTGACTGGATAGACCATGGAATAGGTGAATAGAAGTGTGGGGGTGAGGACAGGGATAGGAGATGATATATGCGAAATTATGCTATTCTGTGTTATTGTATACACATATAACGTTATATATCAAATGAACAAATCCTCAACGGCGTGATATATCAAGTTAACTGATCCTTGTGAGGGCAGTAGCACTCCAGGTTGCAATTCTTTTGACCATGTCGTTGTACAGTTGACTTAAGTCGCATCTGGGAACATCCCGTGCGTAGATTCGAACCCTCATCAAGGCTTTTGTGGATTTGTTCACGTTATTGTATGTTCTTTTAATGGATGGATAAATGGTAAATGTCATAGGGTGTGCATATACTTATTGGTTGGACAATTCCTGTGTGTATAGATAGTTATTGGTTGGACAAGTCGTGTGTGCATAGATAATTATTGGTTGAACATGTCTTGTGTGGATAGATAAAAGTATGATTAGTGGTTGATCAAAAGTACGAACTGGGAAAGAAAAGTGAGAAGTAGTGGTAGAGAGAACACACGACAGAGCAGAGTGTGGAGTAGCAGGAGAGTCTGAGGCAACAGTAAGGTAGTGTAAGTCTGGATACTGAATAAATCCTTGAGGTAGAGTCTAATTGTGTTTTGTATTGGTTAAGTCCAGTGTAGAACACAATGGACTTGTGTAAGGCCTTCTGTCGTGATGTGTGTGTCGGGTTTGCTATAATTTTCAGTGTTGATTCTGTCATGTTTTTCTTTTTTCTCTGTTTATTCCTTGATATTCCTCTCTCTCTCTCTCTCTCTCTCTCTCTCTCTCTCTCTCTCTCTCTCTCTCTCTCTCTCTCTCTCTCTCTCTCTCTCTCTCTCTCTCTCTCTCTCTCTCTCTCTCTCTCTCTCTCTCTCTCTCTCTCTCCTTCAATCAATCTTCGTCTCTCCTCCCTAGAGCTAGAGCAACCCATGCGGTACAGCAGCAAACTGATGAACAGCATCTGGGGTCAGTACAATGAAAACTCTGTGCACAACTTCAAGTCGCTGCAGTGCGGAGGTGTGGCGGCCCCCGACACCCAGGAGACTCAGCAACAGCTGCAGGATGCGCCTTCCACCACTAGGTGAGTGTATTGTTAACGTTGGATGTCTTCTAGCTGTTTGGTAGCTCACCTGTCTTAAGATGGCCGTGTTATCTTTTGCAAGTCTGTAGGTCCTTCTGGTCATTCTCGGGAAATAAGTGATTGTGTAATATATATATATATATATATATATATATATATATATATATATATATATATATATATATATATATATATATATATATGAGAGACATGTTTACTTAATCGAAATGTATATTGAGCGAGATGGCCAGTGTTACGTGCTGGGTCATTATGTTCAGCCTAAGTCACACACAGAGATCACACTAACGTGATGTATCAAATGAACAAATCCACAAGGGCCGTGACGAGGATTCGAACCTGCGTCCGGGAGCATCCCAGACACTGCCTTTTTAACCCTGTCGTAGCTCAGTCGATTAAGGCAGTGTCTGGGATGCTCCCGGACGCAGGTTCGAATCCTCGTCACGGCCCTTGTGGATTTGTTCAGCCTAAGTGTTAAGGTTCTCGATGCAAAGATTAAATGCGGATTTTTTGTTTCTTTCCTTGGATAGGGAGGTGTTCCAACAGCGTCTGGGGGAACTGGGTACAGCGGTGGCCGCCAATTTTATGGACAACCTGCATCAGTACTAGCAGCGCCGCGCCGCCTTTGCGTCACCACCACCACCACTACCACCAACCACTTACTAGTACTACTACCACCACCACTGCTACAACCACAGGCCTGTCCACATCGCCTTACTTCCCCCCCCCCCCCTCACTCACTTTACTGCTACCTGCAACTTGAATCGATTGACTTGTGGTCTACAACACTTTCGTAGCTAAATTACCTTTTATTTTGCTCCCATCTCAACATTTGATAAACCTCTGAGCCACTACCAGCAGCACATCTTTAAACCAACACAATAGTGCTAATATACCCAATTGATTAATTAACACCGCAGCTCAGATTAATCCACCTGGCTTAAGATGCGGTCGTACCTGACTGGGACACGAACCCGTAACCCTACCGGATGAAAAATAAAAGCCAGTGTGCCATCAGCACCCGACTTACAGTTGCAGTTGAAGCCACAATGACAGGTCATGTACATACGGGCAGAAGCCCCATATTGGTTCAGGCTTCATACTCTGCCCTATGATGCCCAGCCTCCAGGAGGACAAAGACGTTTATCAACAAATGTTATTACTCGAAGCCAAACATTTTAACTATCAAATACTAAAGAAAAAAACGGAAATGAAGAGGAAAAACTCGTTTTTCCTCTTCATTTCGTTGCTATGTAGTAATTCAGTGCATAATAAGTCTGATTTATAGGTAATTGGTTAGTGATAATATTTGTTTCAAACCCAGAAAAATTTCAACCACGAACATTTGTCAAAGGCTGTTTTAAGCGTAATGAAATATGTTGATAGTGATGATTCTTGGAGCGGGCGGAGGCGCAGAAGCGCAGAGATGCAGTTTATAATATGGGTCTTCTGGTCGAGGTGGTCACCCTGCCAGCAGTGTGACCACACCCTAGGGATGCACCGGAGGGACCAAGGCACCTAACTTATCAGGGCTCATCACCACCTAACCCAACACAAACCTGCCCTGAGCTAACATGGGCTAATGTATGTCAGCCCTTTTTAGGTCTGGATAGATTGGGTTCGATTTCTAATGGAATCCTAGCGTCACTGAGCTGTTTGCTGAGATTCACTTAGAACAGAGGTGCTGTTCAGCTATTCCTGGCCCTGATCAGCCATTCCTGGCTCTAATTATCCATCTGGGGTCTTGATCAGCCAATCGTGGCCCTGATAATGGATGGTTCCTTGTGCCCTCCCTCGCGGCAACGGCTCCACCACTCAGCTGATGTAGAGAATATTGAAAAATAAAATAAAAATATATATATTACGAATAGAGCCATGCGAATAATATACCAAAATAACGCTTAGTAGACTATGTATCATCTTCCTGATTGGTATATCCGAGCAAACAGATCAGAAAATATGCTGAGTATAGTTTCAAAAGTCAGGGAAGGGTGACACTCTACTTCATTAGAAAACAACAGACTTTTCACTTATAAATGCCGAGAAACCGCAGGTGTCCTCATTATTACAGAAATTAGCAACATTTTTAGTCAATACATCTTTCAATTCTTTATAAATCTGTTGTGATTATATATTTTTTAAGCCCGTTCGTATATTAATTAGTTTCAGGTTAATTCAAAGGAAGAGCTCCCTCTTTCCTGCCAAGGTTTAAAGTCTTCCACATTATCTCTTGCAAGAATGTGTTGCATTCTTAATACAAGAATGTGTTGCATTCTTAATACATGGCTTAATACAAGAATGTGTATTAATACACATTCTTAATACAAGGCTACTTGTTAACTCTTGTGTATTCAATGTGTCTTGTGTCAGTGAACCAGGCTAGTTAGACGATCAAGAAGCGCTAGTTAGACAATCAAGAAGGGCTAGTTAGACGATCAAGAAGCGCTAGTTAGACAATCAAGAAGGGCTAGTTAGACATCAAGAAGCGCTAGTTAGACATCAAGAAGGGCTAATACAAGTCTGTGTATTCACAAGAGCCTATGTATACACAAGAGCCTATGTATACACAAGAGTCTATGTATACACAAGAGTCTATGTATACACAAGAGTCTATGTATACACAAGAGTCTATGTATACACAAGAGTCTATGTATACACAAGAGTCTATGTATACACAAGAGCCTATGTATACACAAGAGCCTATGTATACACAAGAGTCTATGTATACACAAGAGTCTATGTATACACAAGAGCTTATGTATACACAAGAGCCTATGTATACACAAGAGCCTATGTATACACAAGAGTCTATGTATACACAAGAGTCTATGTATACACAAGAGTCAATGTATACACAAGAGTCACTGTATACACAAGAGTCAATGAATACACAAGAGTCTATGTATACACAAGAGTCTATGTATACACAAGTCTATGTATTCACAAGAGTCTATGTATTCACAAGAGTCTATGTATTCACAAGAGTCTATGTATTCACAAGAGTCTATGTATTCACAAGAGTCTATGTATTCACAAGAGTCTATGTATACACAAGAGTATGTATTCACAAGAGTATGTATACACAAGAGTCTATGTATATTCACGTGTTTATACATGTAGATACACTAGATAGTGTGTGCACGTTCATGAACTTGAGTATATATGTATACTTTGCAGACACGAGTATACATGTATTCTCACTGGAATATACATTTATTCATAATTGCACCTGTATACACACATGCACATGTATACGAGTTGAAGTGTACACATACATGTGCTTGAGTGTATACATATACAGACTAGATGAACATGTATACACACTAGAATGTTCATGTGTGAACACTAGAACATAAGACTCCAGTTTCCAGCTTGCCTCTTTCTAGGCCTATATTTAATTACTGATTGCTAACCTCTATGTAGGCCTACATATAATTGACGTTTGTTTCTCGTGTAATCAAATTCATAACTACTTCCGGAATAAAATTATAAAAAAACTTTATTGTAGTTTATCGTCTCCAAAAAACACAATGCAATATAAATATTCACAAAAAAAACGAATACAGACACACATAAGAATATTACTAATAAATATAATAACGATAACACAATACAAAATAAACGAGATTTAATAAACTTACAAAATAATAACAGCATCAAATACAGCACAGTTTCCCTTAATGCAAAATACATTAACAGTGTGTAAGAAAATACTAACTTCTTTACAGTTGAATATAACTTTAAATTCAAAGTTGAATAATGATTCTCATTCGATGTTGTGTATTATGTAGATAACTGAGCAGAGAGATTTAATATTATATGGAAAAAAACGTTTCTACACCCAGAGTCAGGTTACATATGATCCTACACACAGTCTGGTCATGTGTACCCCTACACACGGAGTCAGGTTACATATGATCCTACACACAGTCTGGTCATGTGTACCCCTACACCCAGAGTCAGGTTACATATGATCCTACACCCAGAGTCAGGTTACATATGATCCTACACCCAGAGTCAGGTTACATATGATCCTACACACAGTCTGGTCATGTGTACTCCTACACCCAGAGTCAGGTTACATATGATCCTACACACAGTCTGGTCATGTGTACTCCTACACACGGAGTCAGAACCATAACAATAGCCAAACTGCAAATATCACAAGCAATTTATTTAAAAAAAGGATCTAAAAATGTGCATATATGTGTGTATTTACTATTCATATTTACTATTTCTTTATTGCCTTTCTAACTCTGTTGCCTAATGTACTGACTCCTGATCTGTTTTCCTCTATCATATCTATTGCATATATTTTTCTCTCACACACCCCCACATCCCCAAGATGCAGCCCGTAGCACATGTCTGACTCCCAGGTACCTATTTACTGCTGAACAGAAGCATCAGGTGAAGGGAACTGTTCATTTGTTTCTGCCTCGACCGGAAATCGAACCATATGAGTCCACATACATAGCATCTCGTAGGAATTTGTCTCGTAGTACACTTGGCTTCGCTCTCGACTAGCAATCGGGGATCCCAGATTCGATTCCCCTGGCGGGGCAAAAAAGGTTGGGCACGTTTCCATTCATCTAATGTCTCTGTTCACCTAGCAGTAAGTAGGTACCCCTGGAGTTAGGAAACTGTTGTGGGGTTCCATCCTAGGGAGGGCCGGTAGTTTGACCTTGAAAGGGGGGGGGGGCCTTACCTTACAGTTTCCTAACCCCTGGAGTTAGGAAACTGTTGTGGGGTTCCATCCTAGGGAGGGCCGGTAGTTTGACCTTGAAGGGGGGGGGACCTTACAAGACAAAGTATATATATACACAGGCGTTCTGTCCCCGACTAAACGAATTATCATCAATAAACACAGCCTGCAAATACTAATAACCGGTTAAAAAAATACACAAAATATTGTACAACCATTTAATAGGATATGTGGTTTATCCGACTACAATAGAATCAGTGTTCAGTCAGACTATCCAATCGCTAAACAAGCTCACTAACGAGATTGAGTGATTGTCATTTTGCGTGAACGTGATTGGCTGGGATTTACTTTATATTTGCAATTATTTTTTTGTTGAAAGGGTTTGGGGCAATTTTATATACTTCCATCAGCTGGTAATTGTGTTTGATAATCCCTCCTTGTATTCGTACATGGGAATATATTGTTTTATCGAGTGGTGTGTTGTGATCTACCCACAAATGAGCATACACAACTTACACTGCCAGTGTAAATATATAACTTGTGCCTAGCACTACACACACAGACACGCGGCTAGACACAGACACACAGACACACCCCCAGACACATCCCCAGACACACAGACACACCCCCAGACACATCCCCAGACACACAGACACGCGCCCCAGACACAACCAGCCAGGGCCATGAATCACTTACAAGATATGAACCTTTAACCTCGAGTACGACGGCTTCGTCTATGTTTACTAACTAGTTTACGTGGTTCAAAGCGCTCCAAGGTCGTCTTCAAATCAAAGTTAAGTAAGAAGTGCAGATCTTGTAAGTGGGTATGTCTGTGAAGTAAGAAATTATCAAAGGAAGGCACCAAGCCCAAGTGGACATCTGTGAATCCTTGAGCCTCGGGCCTGTAAACGTCTTCCTGTAGGATCCAGCTCAGTGGGAACTGCCGTGGAGGGCGTAGTAGTGGCCTCGCTTCTGCAGCAACTCCCTATGGGTACCGGACTCCACCACCCGACCGCCGTCTACCACAGCGATGGAGTCGGCGCCTTGGACGGTAGAGAGGCGGTGGGCGATCACGATGCACGTGCGGCCCTCTTGTGCCCTCTCCAGCGCCTCCTGGACCGCCTGTCAACGCACAACCACAGTGATTGACACATAGGATCAGGCCGAAAATGTCTTCTAAAAATCTTTTCCCCTTTGCAATGTGATTTTCCGAAGCTAGAAAACTAGACGCTAGAAACAGAAACATATAGACGGAACCCACTGACCTTCTCACTCTCTGTGTCAAGGGCAGAGGTGGCTTCGTCCAGAAGAAGCACACTAGGGTTTCGAACCAAGGCTCGGGCGATTGCTATGCGCTGCTTCTGACCACCAGATAACTGGGTTCCCTTGGGTCCAACACGAGTCTCGTACGCCTGAGGGAAGGGCTACAGGGTCAAATAGGGTCTTCAGACTGTTGAAAAGGGAACTCGTTACCTGGAAAGTTGGAATTTCTCTCGAATATTTTTAGTTAAAAAGAGGTAAGGTTATTCTTTGGAGAAAGAGTTATGCTGATATGACTAGGACTTTTTTTTTACAGGAGGGTACAGGAGTATATGACTTCTGACTCCTGTTAATAGGCTAAACCTTTTCTTTCAATAGGATTTTTTTTCTGGAACATAATCCGCCAATTGGTTTTACTGCCAGGTCACCAAGTGTGTACTCACCTATTTGTGCTTCCGGGGGTTGAGCTTTGGTTCTTTGGTCCCGACTCTCAACTGTCAATCAACTGGTGTACAGATTCCTGAGTCTACATTTCATATCTACATTTAAAACTGTGTACGAAGTCAGCCTCCACCACATGAGTGCCTAATGAATTCCACCTGTTAACTACTCTGACATTGAAAAAATTCTTTCTGACGTCCCTGTGGCTCATTTCAGTACTCAGTTTCCACCTGTGTCCCCCTTGTTCGCGTACCACTAGTGTTGAATAGTTTATCCTTGTCTACCCTGTCAATTCCCTGAGGATTTTGTAGGTAGTGATCATGTCTTCCCTTACTCTTCTGTCTTCCAGTGTTGTAAGGTGCATTTCCCGCAGCCTTTCATCGTAACTCATGCCTCTTAGTTCTTGGACTAGTCTAGTGGCATACCTCTGAACGTTTTCCAGCTTCGACTAAGTACGGGCTCCATGCTGGCGCCGCATACTCCAGGATTGGTCTTACATATGCTGTGTACAAGGTTCTGAATGATTCTGAAGGCTGTTCTGATGTTAGCCAGCCTCGCATATGCCGCAGACGTAATTCCTTTTATGTGGGCTTCAGGAGACAAGTTTGGTGTGATATCAACTCCTAGTTCTTTCTCTCTGTCCGTTTCATGCAGTACTTCATCTCCTATTCTGTATCCTGTATCTGGCCTCCTGTTTCTACTGCCTAGTTTCATTACTTTGCATTTACTCGGGTTGAACTTTAGCAGTCATTTGTTGGACCAATCATTCTGTTTGTCTAGGTCATCTTGTAGGCTCCTACTGTCGTCCTCTGTTTCAATCCTCCTCATAATTTTTGCATCATCAGCAAACATTGAGAAAAACGAGTCTATTCCCTCCGGGAGATCATTTACATATATTAGAAACAGTATAGGTCCAATGACTGACCCCTGCGGGACTTCAGTTGTGACGTCTCGCCAATCTGAGACCTCACCCCTCACAGTGACTCGTTGTTGTCTGTTGCTTAGGTACTCCCTTACCCAGTGGAGTACCTTCCCTTTCATTCCAGGCTGCATCTCCAGCTTTTTCACTAGCCTCTTGTGTGGTACTGTATCAAAGGCTTTCCTGACAATCCAAAAATATGCAGTCTGCCCACCCCTCTCTTTCTTGCCTGATTTTTGTTGCCTGGTCGTTCAATTCAATTAACCCTGTGAGGCAGGACTTGCCATCCCTGAACCCATGTTGATGCTGTGTTAAAAAGTTCTTTCGCTCCAGATGTTCTACTAGCTATCTTCGCACAGTTTTCTCCATTAGCTAGCATGGTATGCAGGTTAGGGACACTGGCCTGTAGTTCAGTGCCTTCTGTCTATCTTATATATCGGGACTACATTAGCTGCTTTCCAAATTTCTGGCAACCCCACAAGAGACTGTCTAACTCCCAGGTAGCTAATTACTTGTAAGTGAAAAGAGACAAGACGTAAAAGGAAACGCTATTACTCTGTTTCTGTTCCGGACAGGATACGAACCCCTGAACCTATAAATGAGAATAGAAATCGTCTTGACCATGAGAGGATATGAGAATTAGAAGCTGTCATCCAGTCCAACTTCTCTGATTACGGTCACTTGTCCACTTCAATATTTACGTGGAAATCCCTATTTCGTGATAATTACTGTACAGTTACCAACACCCAAAACCAAGGTAACAAGGGGGTGCTGATAGTGTTCCATATATAGAAACAATATCATAAGCTATAATTCCATGTAATGTTAACTTATTGTAAACCGCCAATATCAAAAAATTTCATTCACACCTGGAATGGACTGGAAGAAGGTGGTGTAAGGGGTTGACACAGCTAGACTGACGAAACTCCTTCACTCAAAGAGTCCGAAAAGTTGTACAAGAATAGTGACTTACGTCTGGGAGGGACTCTACGAAGGCGTGAATGTTAGCCTGCTGGGCTGCCCAGACAATCTCCTCCCTGCTGACGAGGCGAGAGTTGTCACCGTAGGCAATATTTTCCGCGACGGTGCGGTCAAAGAGCACGGGTTCCTGGGACACCAGACCCAGCTGTCTCCTCACCCAGGAGACGTCGAGTTGCTGAACATTCTCCCCGTTGATGCTCTGAGGGAACGGAGGACGCAGAGGGATAGATTTAGCTGACAGATAGGAGATAGAAATGGGAGGGAGAGGTAAACGACGGGAGGGTAGGAGGAAGCGAAAGATAGATATACAAATAGGAAGAGCATAGAGCGGATTATGATTCAAAGGAAATTTTACACACAACAGCAGTGTCGCACGTTAAAATAATAATTTTTCTTCAGCTTTTACTTGCTTTTACCAAAGCCTCCACCACAGTCAACTAACAACTACCACACACACCAACACCAGCCACCACCACCACTGCCACCCCGACACCTACCACCTTGCCAGCCCCGGCGTCATAGAACCTCTCCAGGAGGGCGATGATAGTGCTTTTGCCGCAGCCAGAACCGCCCACGAGTGCCAAGGTCTGCCCACGACCCACGCCCACCTTCAGACCACTCAGGATGGGCACGTCACGACGGCTCGGGTACGTGAAATGCACGTCAGTCAACTGGATGTCCCTCACGTCCTCGTTCTGGTCTCCACAAAAGAAAGCAACATGTCAGGCGCTCGCCGAGCTCTTAAATTATTACAATAAATTTGAGCAAAGGAGGAAATTGATGTTGAACATATTGCATAAATCAAGACTATATTCTACACTTATTGCAGATGCCGACAAATGCGTTTGAAGGCTTTCACAACTTCCAGAATTAAAATGCAAATGTTTTCTTGGTCCGATAAGAGGATATATGTCAACAATGCAGGAGACTAACACTTCAATAGCATTTGCAAATATTTTTACATGTGAGAAATTTAACATCTCTTCCTACGCCTCTTCGTCCTTGAACACATATCTACTCCCTCTCTCTCTCTGTCTCTGTCTCTCTCTCTCTCTCTCTCTCTCTCTCTCTCTCTCTCTCTCTCTCTCTCTCTCTCTCTCTCTCTCTCTCTCTCTCTCTCTCTCTCTCTCTCTCTCTCTCTCTCTCTCTCTGTCTCTCTGTCTCTGTCTATCTCTGTCTATCTCTGTCTGTCTCTGTCTGTCTGTCTCTGTCTGTCTCTGTCTGTCTGTCTGTCTGTCTGTCTGTCTGTCTCTCTCTCTCTCTCTCTCTCTCTCTCTCTCTCTCTCTCTCTCTCTCTCTCTTTCTCTCTTTCTCTCTCTCTCTCTCTCTCTCTCTCTCTCTCTCACTCTCTCTCTCTCTCTTTCCCCCCTTTCTCAGCACATCTTCTCAACTTCTCAGCTCTACAAGACCCACCGGAGTGAGACCGGCGTCCCTGGAGGTGGGAATGGCCGGCTTTCTCTCCAGCATCCTGAAGATCCTGGACGCTGCCACTCTTGCCTTGCTGTAGTTAGGGGCAAACGCCAGCACTTGACCCACCACCATCGTCCCCAGGATCATCGCCTCCGCTACTCTGTGTTGAGTGGAGAGACGGAGACACACAGACGGACAGATATATATTATTAACAAAAAGATTCTTGAAACCGTTTTCTGTATCAGACATGTCATTCAATAATGTTGATACGAAGAAGAGTGTGAAAAGTATGATTGAATTAGGGTGTTTATGTGTGTTTTAAAAGTTACATACATTGATGTCCTTTATAATGAAAATATAAACATACACACACTCGAGTACACTTGAAACTCTCTCACTTGAAAACACTCTCGTAGCCTAGTTCCTTCCGCTCCACCAAGCGGCCTCCGTAGAACATGGTGCTGGCGTAGGCGAAGAACGGAACAGCTTGGGCGAAGCCGAAGGTGCCACCTGCAAGAGATAACACTCACCTAAGATGCGCAAGTTCCAGCAAACACAGTGATTAAGAGTGTTGACGAACAACTGTGGATCACAACAGAGAGACGAGAGAGAGAGAGAGAGAGATGAGAGAGATGGAGAGAGAGAGAGCGAGAGAGAGAGAGAGAGAGAGAGAGAGTGCCAAGTACCTCTGACATGGGACTTCTTGAGTGCCTGCAGGTGAGATGAGGTGAGTGCCTGGGTGTAGCGTTCTGCAAAGCGTTGTTCGAGATGCAACGATGCCACTGTTCGGATGTTGGTGATGGCCTCGATCGCTATCTGCAAGTCGGGTAGACAGGGGATAGTTTGGTCAAACAGGTGAGAAGACAGGTTGCAAGGTGAGAATTCGGATTGAGTCAAGGAATAATGGGAGGAATAAGAGGAATGAGAGGAGTAGAGGATAATGAGAGGAATAATATGCATTATATAATGCAGAGGATAATGAGAGGAATAATATGCATTACTTAAACATCTGCATTTTGAAAATATACATATTTTCTATTTCGAAGTGCTATGGCCTAAAATTACAGAGCAGGTTACATTCTACCTTATACATGATAGATTCATTTGTCTATATCATGCAGTAATACATATATGCAGTGATGTGCCTATATATACCTAAGTATCTATATACACTAATGTATTTATATTCTCTAATGTATCTTTTGAACATCAGCATGTGTCTATATAGGAGATATTTGTATTTCAAATTTGGGGAAAAAATTGTCATATGTATAATATGTAATATGTATCTACTATCACAATGCTCAGTGCATACCTTCGTGTAACTGAAATATATAATACTGTATTAAATTGTTATGGCAAAGGTTGGGGGATTGAACTTGCGTCTCCGGACGCCCCAGAAACACACTGTACCATAGATGGGCGTCAAAGTATCCTAACTAGAAGCTTAACAAGACTTGTAGTTTGGAAGGATCCAGCGGCCACTCACATGCTAGTCTGCTTTTTAATATTCAGAATTAGATTGATATGGAACGTAATGAATACGAAATTTGGTATCATTCAGCCGTAGGCCTACCAGGTAATCCACTTTACTCCTGCCACTAACTTTTGTACCTGTCATTCTTGTGATATTCACATGCAAATCACCGGTAATTCTTCAATCAATCTTCTGTCATTTTCATTCCAATCATCTCTCACTCCAGTGAATCTTCTGTAGCTCTCCAATCATTCCTCAGCCGCCCCTGTCACCTACCTTGCCGGCGTCGTCAAGGTCCTTGGACTCTGTGACACTCTGCCCCGTCAGGATCTTGCTCTGCAGGTACATGGCAAGCAGGACGAAGGGCACGAAGGGCAAGGAAACGAGGCCCAGACGCCAGTCATAGTATAATGCCAGGCTTGCCCCGATGCCCAGGGTACTGATGGACTGCGCGATGGTGCCCACTCGTGATCCTGTGGCCTGTTGGGTGCACATTGTGGTGTGAGAGGGACGTGTTGGGCATCACGGGTATATGCTATAATAATAATAATATTAATAATAATAATAAAATAATATTATTATTTTTATTATTATTATTGATTCCTTTGTTTATGAGGATGGGCTGCAACAAACGCCAAGAGCTCGTTAATTAAGCCGCCAAACCCTTGTTTATGTATAAAGAAAGGTTTACACACGACTCTCAGCTGATGGTGTTCGAACAGTTCTCAAACAGCGCTTCGCTGACGACCTCTGTTCGAATCGCAATTCTGTAAATGCTTCACCCACGTAATTTATATGCAAATAACCGCCAACAGAACCTAAACTCCTAACTATACATAGAACTTTAATATATAATGATATTAATATATAAATGAGAACAAACAATTTTAATACACAGTACTTTAAGACTGACAAATACTCTTTAGGGTTGGCTGCCTCCTGGACGAGCCTATCCTGAGGCAGCCCGTCCTCATAAACAAAGGCCAAAGTCCATTCCATCCACCCGCCAAACCCCCTGTTTATAAATGAAAAATGGTTTACACACGAATCACAGCTCATGACATCTAAACACTTCCGGAACAAGTGCTTCGCTGACGACTTTTGTTCGAACCACAACGCTGTAAATGCTTCACCCACGTACTACAAATACAAATAACCGCCAACAGAACCTAAACACCAACCTTAACCTAACCTAAACAGACCTAAATTATGCACAATATGCTAATATATATAATAATATTAATTTATATTTGAAAAAAGTTTTGTTTTAAATAAACAGAATGTTAAAATTGATGAATACGTCTTTGGGGTCGACCACTGGATGGAATGGAGCCCAGTGGCCATGAGTTATAGGCAACATACTCACCCCCTGTACTGCAGATGCATCTGCAGACAATCTAGAGCACAAGGCTCCTACTGAGTTCCTCTCCTCGTCGAACCACGCCATCTCCTGCTTCAGCATCGCAGCGAAGCTCAGTTTCCGGAGCCGGGATGTGAGTTTTTCTCCAGAGAGGGAAAACATGTATATCTGAAGAAAAAAAAGATAGTACTGAATGGTTGTGTGTCTTGCTGGATGGTTCGTACGGCCGGAGGTTTGTTTGTATGGTCGTGTGGTCCCAAGGAGTGGTTGTATGATTGTGTGGTTCGTGGATTGTTTGTGTGGCTCGTAGTGGTTAGTACGAGTGTGTCGCTAATGGATGGTTTGTATGGCTGAGTGAAGAGTTTGTATGGTTATGTGACCAGTGTATGGTT